CCTTCAAAGCACCCATGACACATCTCACTACATCAATGGCATCGATGCGACTAAGATCATGCCGCGCTGATTTGTAGAAAATCTGTATTCATGGCCCAGTGAACAATTTTCCAAGTAGGCCTACTATGTGCATCTCAACAACTCCAGTTGTACTAACAAAGTCCTTTTTGATTGCAGTCACAAGGCCACCACAGGTGACAGAGCCTGTTGTGAAGAAATCCAAGAATTGGTGGTGGATCTGGAAAAGCTTTCCACAAATATGAAACAGAATGTGTAATGTATTCCCTCTGTATCGAGAATCACACCTTTCAAACCTGTGGCAAGTTGGGTGCAGTCTTTGTTGGCAAGTTGGTGTATCACCCTCACTTGTGTCCATGTCTTCCCTCTAAACTAGGATCATGTACATGTCTTCATCATCAATAGTGATCTGTCAGTTTATAACAGGTTCAGTGACCCATTCAAAATTCTATATCAAGTGTCTCTCCAAGTTTCTCTCCAAGTTCCTCGGTCTTGAGCCAAATAACTGTTTGATTTTGGGGTCAAAGGTCACAGGGCTCATTATGTATGCAAAAATAGCTTGCGATTGCATTATCATTAGAACCGATGGATGGATTACCATCAAACTCAAGACATGTATGTATCTTGCAGATATCAAGCCAATATACCGATGAAATTTTGTGGTCAAAGGTCATTGGGCTCATTATATATGCAAAAATAGCTTGTGATGGCATTATCATTTAAAACCGACGGATTGATGACTTATTTACTATTAAACTTGGGACATGTACACTGTTTGTATCTTGCAAAGCCAATGAACTGATTGTATTTTAGGGTCATGAGGTCAAAGATCAAAGTTTCAATATATAAAATAGGTGAGAATCATGATATTATGAGAATCTGTTAATAATGAATCAGAATTAAACTTGAATTTTAACAATTGCTGTTTTGGTTTGTAAAATCGCTCTGTGGCGGAAGCATCATTTTCAACTGCCCGCAGTCCAAGATCCATCTAGTTTCCTTCAATAATGAACTATCAAAAAATATAAATTCTGTAGATTTGTGACCACGATTTGTACGCCCCTTGAGAAACCAATGCCATGAATGGTTAGAGGAACTAGTGGCATGAACGGCCTGCCATAGTTCAGGTCCAACTTAAGTCGATCTTAGTCTTTGTGAAACACTCACCTGGTGTTGCATGGTCTCGTCGTTGGTGTGAATGAGGTATCAACTCTTTACATTTGCAGCTTGTCATTTTATAGCTCGTTATCAGAATTAAATTCAGTCATCATGGTTTATGGAGAGTACAAGTCTTGTGTGTGAAGACAATCGTCTAGTATACTTTTTAAAGTTATTGTTTAACAATGTTTCCACAATTACAAATCTGAAATGTATTGCCCTACGTACGTGTTATCATTGTCTGTGAGTTGGTGTAATATTGAAGTCCTAAAACAATTGCGCTTCAAAATGATCATGAAGTGCTTTAAAAAATTAAAAATCTTTGACTTTCCGGTTTTACCATACTCATTTTCCCCAATAGACTGTAGTGTTATAAAAACCAGTGGGAAAATGGTTTTTAAAATTTTGAATTCCAATCATTAATATCTTGATAACCAAACATGCAATAGTCATGGGATTCATTTCTGACCTTAAGGTTTATACTTACGATTGCAGCATGAGCTAAATCCAGGATTTTGTTTAAAGAATAAGAGGTAAAGTTTCCTTAGAATACCCTTAATCATACGTAAATTCAATGTATTTTAGTTGTTGCCATAAAGTGCCACCTTAGTTGCCAATATGTATCCTTGCATGGGCATGGATACATGTATGTATTAAACTCATTCATATTTTAATGTTTAAACAAAATCAGGATGTATTCATATCTTCAAATTAACTGGTGATGTAGATATTCATATCTTAACCAAAGCATAATTTCATGCAATTTTATTCAATTATTATATTCAATACGACACTTTCGTTCTCTCATTGGTGTTTCATTTTCATTAGCATTCCTCACAGCACTACCAGTATCTCTGTTTTAGTATTCAATTGGTTAGTGAATATATAGTTAATACATGTATAGATCTGTACATTTCATGTTAAAAACATTTGAAAATCACATAATCAAACCTGTGTTAAGCTTTTGTGTGTGTGTGTGTGTGTGTTAAAATAAGATATTTTGTCAGCCATGTAAATCATTCCATGTTTTAGTACTATAGTGTACATTAAACTAGTACCGGTATATCATTTTAAGAAAGAAATTGCATTGACAATGACATACTGGTAATAAAACTTGTTTGTACATATAAGATAACATATGGTTTATAAGACTATCAAATTTAAAATAAAATAAAATATCAGCTGCTTTTGAAAATGGCTACAATTTCAACAAATCAGTTTTTGTATCTAATTCAAAATTAATGTGATTATATAAATTATGAATATCATTACCTCATAAATGTATATTTGATATTGTAACATAGGTACATTTTGTTTTATTTTGAATGTACATATGTGACTGTAGTGAATTTGTTTTCCAATGTGATTTGCAGTTATGTGTATTTTTGTATTCATGTGTTTGTATTTATTTGAAAATAAATCACCTTGCCAAATAAAAATGATGTTGTTTTTGTATATTTATTTATCTTTGCTATTTTTTTAGAATTGTGATGGATCAGAATTAATCTCAAACTATCGCAGTAAAATTGCACTTTGAAACTGCAGTTTGAGGTGTAAAAACAATTTTTTGTTCATAATGTAATTGCAACAATTAAATTCTTAGGTAAACTAGTGCAGCATACATGTAGATGGGATGGGACTAGAACAAATGACAGCAAGAAGATGGTTCTATTCTGTATGTATCAATTTAATACACATGAAAACAATTGCTTTCAACAACAAATAAACTGAGAATGGCAAAACCCAACCTAAATACAGGTAATAAGATGAAAATGTTGTTCTTAAATTACATTCTATTTTCATTGATTGAAACATCTAGAAATGCAAAATAAGAACATTTTGTGTTTTCTGGATGATCTGCACATCAGTGATGAGCTTATATTATAACTTAAAGTTTGGAATCAGGATACCGATAGTTTTCAAAAGTTCACTTTGAAATTTAATCTTATTGTGGAAGAATCTATGATGAAACAAAATTATCCATACCCTTATAAATTTTGTGTAATTAATGTGAAAAAGTGATTTGTCCAGATTTATGTTTCTTCAGAATGTAACATATTAAAGCTTACATCTAACAGTATTCAACAAAGGCCCTAATTCAACCAGTCAACCTTTCATTATTGAGTTAATCACAACACAACAGACTTCAAATTTACAAGGGGTATGAGTAATTTAAAAGTATGTTATTGAAGTGGCATAAATTGTGGATTGCATTTTTGTAAAAAATACCAAAAATTCTGTGGATGTTCGTAATCCAATAATTCCTAAAAGCAACAACTAATGTTCAGATTGTGGTATAAAATTGTACAATACAATGGATATTCATTGTATAACAACTGAATAGCAAGATATTATTATTTTCAAAAAAAGGGTTGATGTCTTCATCAATTATAACAAACAAATGTAAGCACACGGCAGGGGACTGTTCAATAAAAGATGTAAGGGGTTTTAATATTGCATCAATACACAACTGGTACACAAGCAACAACGGGTATCCAAATACATGTACATGGTAAAAAGTAAGGCCGGTACAATACTGCAAAACCATGGCAAGAAATAAAATATCTGGGCCCCGTCTTACAAAGAGTTGATATCAATCGCAACTACATGTATGTACATATGAGATAGGAGCCTGCAAAATTGCGATTGATTGGAGGACTTGCGATTGATTTTGATCAATCGCAACTCTTTGTAAGACGGGGCCCAGATATCAAATATAAAAACAAGTTCAGCAAACTAAGCTGTTTAGTAAAAAAAAAAATTGTACAATGGTTACGGTTCAACAAATCAGCTGCTCAGGATAAAATGAGATCCTATACAACACAATCTTTAGTAAAGTCGTTTAGTACTGCATCAATAAAACCAGTATACATATTACATACATCTAATTATCATTTGATTGAACAACCAGAAAAGTCTTGTTTAACACAAAAAGAACACAGTTCTTGCATCAGCATGAATGCAACAACTTGTTACCAGCTTCTACAACTAGAAATCATCTACAGAGATGTTTCATCTGAAAACATATACTGTATACGGAGTAGCAACTACTTTGCACTGTGTATAGATACAAACAAGAGAAGTACTGGAAATGTTTCTTGATAAATACGTCCTTAGAAAAAATATGTCCTTAACAAAAAATATCTACATATATCTATCTACTTTGGCACAGCCATAGACTTCTCCTATGCTACATGTTAACGTATGTACAAAGAGAACGCTAGTCTATATAGAATACTTGGATCAGTGATGGAAGACTCACAACATTTAAGAAAATCTTTGGTAGCGCAAGTTAAATGCAATCAGTTGCATTCACCCTAGGCATAGCACATTGAGAAAGACAGTTGTGACGCACGCATCTACGCACAGGCGAGATGGGTCGTAGAGCTCCGGATAGTTTCCTCCCATGTACAATCTCTATGGGAGGGAACTTTCTCTCTCAGGTAGCTATGACTGTAAAGGTTTTACCCTCTCAAATGAAGTATTGAATGGCACTAAAAGCTTTAGACATGGCAGTTAAATTTGTCCTCCACCCAATAAACATCTGTCACACACAGTATTACATGTAATTACAACAAGGCAAGATTTTGTATCAGGTACAAACGGAGTAAAAAATATTTTAAAAAACACAACATTTTAGGTACAGAAAATCAGCTGCCCTAGAATGGAAGGAATGCATAGATGAGTGACTGTTTTCATACATATTAAATCAAGATTAAGTTGATGAGCTTATCTTTGAAAGGTTATCAAGGTTTTCTTGAAGTACATTGCTGGTATCACCTCTACAACTCTCATATGATGTCCAGGGGTTCCCCTATGGTGCCAACAAGTCTTTGAACAAATAGCTCAAATGAACTTTCCAGAGTCAGATTTGGACTTGAAATAGTTTGTTTCACTGTTTTAGAAGGCACTAATTTATTCAAAGGGAATAAATTTCACAATGGTGTTTACTGTTCCCGTTTTGTTTGCAGAGAGAAAATGAAGCCATTTTTAGTCCATAAACATTGATCAACACTGCTCTTGGGCAGGATTTGCCGGCCACAGCATTGAAGTGGTTAAGTGACATGGGATGGTATTCTGTAAACGTTGTTGTATTTCATGCTAGTAAAACAATGTTATTTGTCATAACAAATCAAACTTAGGACAAGCCATCTGTTAATGTCTGTGCAAATCTGGCTGCAATCGCGTAAGGTTACAAGAGATACATGCATCTACGCAAACACCAATGGTACATGTAAGTGTTAGTTATGACAATTAACATAATTTTCCCTGACATATAAACGACAAAACAGTTTATGGATTACGGCCCCAGAACTCTTCCACCTTTTCTAGTCTTTATCATATTGGTTACTACTGAATTCCTAGCCTTACTCTTATCACATGAATATGCTAATGGTTGCAACCTCTACTTTCATTGCCCCCTCCCACCCCCTAATTCTCTCCCTCTTTTTCTCTCACTCTCTCCCCGTCCCTCTCTTTCTCTCTCTCTCCCTGTCTCTAGTCCCTTCTCCCCTAGTTGTATCTCCCATTTCGATCACTGCTCATCTCTTTCACTCCTTAGCTAAGAATAATTTGTATCCCCCCATTGTCCCTGCATTCATATCTGCTCTTGCATTATACTGTGGTATTCTCCCTATTGCTATCAAAGTTCCTGTCTTTCGTCCCTTCTCTAAGAATCTACTTCTGTGCTAACCCATTACCGTCAATATTCATCTTTTTCATCCCTCTTCTCAGAACCAAATGTTGTGTCCTTCCCCCCCCCCCCCCATCATAATTTCTCTCTCATCCCTTCTAATACATCCTTTTTTTCTCACACTGCCGGCACAATTCCTCTCTTTCATCTTTTCTCTTGCAATCTACTTAGAATCTACTACTGCGTTATGACCCATTACCATCATAATTTTTCTCTCATCTCTTTTAACATATTCTACTCTATTCTCACTCTGCCGTCACGATTCCTCTCTTTCTTCTTACATTTTTCTCTCTCGCTTCCTACTGTTGGTCTTATCCATTCCAAAGAGTATCCTGACATCTCTGATTCTGTTCATTCTCCTTTCTTCCGGTGTTTGGTTCTTGCCGCCGAACACTTGCTTCATCAGCTGTCTCTTGAACTCCTGGATTTTCAGCATGGGTTCTTCTATGCTCTCATGCACCAAAAACTGGGACGTGGGCAAACAAAAATTCATTTCCATCATCTTAATATCGATATATTATTTGTTAATGCTATGCAATCACGCATCACAAGATCAATGCTTGCCTACTCATTTTGGATGTTACAAATTGTGTGCATTGTAGAGGTGTCGTGGTCGATTGGATATGTCACCGTACTGTGGATCACAAGGTCTGCGGTTCAAGTCCCGCTGCGGCACTAATGTCCTTTGGCAAGACATTGATCTACATTTGCCACTCTCCACCCAGGTGTTAAAATGGGTACCTGGTAGGATGCGAAAGCTAATGTGGTTTGATTAGCAATGGCGCTTGTAAAATGGTGACTGGCTGGAATGCTCCCCAGGGAGTGGAGAATGTGAATACCCTGTGTGCGGGTAAGCCTGAATCCGATGACCGGGGTAATAGTATGTCCGCGCCTAGAAACAAAGTATTAGGCGCATTATAAATGTGAGCTATTATTATTATTGTCTTTTGATGTCTACATCATCGTATAAGTGGCATAGGTAGGGAGGCATGACCCCCCCTTCCCTGCCATAATAAATTGAATGGCAAAGGACCATTTAATGATAAGTCAAGCAAGATTCAATTTACTTTTGTAAATCTGAACTACCCGCGAAATTTGTGAATGTTTTAATCACGCTAAAGCTTCTGAGACAACTTACCTTGGTAATGGTGACATCTTTGGTCTGTCCTAGACGATGACATCGGTCAAAGCTCTGCTCTTCACATGCGGGGTTCCAAGCCTTAATACAATACACAGACAAGATGTCTTATCAATATTCAGGACACTTGGCTTAATACTCTCTAAGAATTCATGGTAACTCATTCACCCTCCCCCCTCTCCCCTGTTCTGTTGTATCTGAAGGAATCCACCCAAAAATGATCACAATGAAGTCCATACTTGGACTGGGAAAAGCAAGTCATCATTTTCAAAGAGTATATAGAAATACACTGATTTAGAAATAAAAACAGCAGCTATGTAATTAAACTAATTGGAGAGATACCAGATCAAACCCAGAAGCAAAGGTAGGGATATAACCTTCTTCAACCTTCAAAGATAGCAAGTATACTTACAGGGTCTAGTAGATATAGCCTAGAAGCTGCAGTCAGGTTCAGTCCGACCCCTCCAGCCTTGAGAGATAGCAAGAAGATTTGAGAGGAATCTGGATCATTGCTGCTGAACTCTCTTATTGCTGCCGTACGGGCAATCCTCGACATTGAACCATCAAGACGGCTGAACTTGAAACCTTTCTCACTGTCGAAAAAAGTTCAAGAACAGACATGAAATATAGGCAGATATTACTCAAGGTCTTTGGGATGAGAAGTGTAGCAAATATAGATTAATGTCTTGCCAAAGAAACTTACATGAGAAAAGTTTAAAGTGTAAATGTTTCTAAAAGTAAACTTACGTGAGAGGTTTCACCAGCACGTCAAGAAATGAGGTGAACTGAGAAACAACAATACTCTTGGTCGTCTTGTCTGCTGCCCTCTCAGTCAGCAAGCACTCCATAAGAGCATCAACCTATTTCAGATGGACAAAAGTGGAATAACGATAATTACTTTAATGTAACTTGGTTAGCATATGGGCAAAAGTAGATTTGTGATTTGACACAAATATTAAGTGCTCAATTTTGGGGTTGTAGTATCCCTTGGTAATCTGGACTTTTCTAAATTCATAATTTCAAAATTATCTCAGAGCAATAGTTTAAGCCACTGAGAGTCTGCATTAATGCTAGTAGACCAAAAAGAGAATTAGTATAGTCCTGCTTATATGCTAGCATTTAAGATCAGTTCCTCACTACCTCAGATCCATCTGCTTATTAAACAAAGGCAGCCCCCACGCCCCTCCCGACAGATCAGACGTCTGTGGATGATGAGCAGGATCCTCTTGAGCAGCCATCCTTGTCTCACACTCCTGATGATTGTCTGACACTCCTCTCTCAAACATGTCCTGCTGAAGTGCATAACATCACTAGGAAACCTTCTGCTAAGACTTGCCAACTTGACCCAATTCCTACCTCGCTTGTCAAACAGAACTCTGTTGTCTTGGCTTTGCCAATTGCAAACATTTTAAATACTTCCCTGCATGATGGAATACAAAATTCCTGACTAACTCACACTAGCTCATGTCACTCCTGTGCATAAGAAGCCATCACTATTTAAAACTTGGGTAGAGAGTGGAAAATGTAGTTTAACGTCTTGCCAAGGGACGTTAGTACTGGGCTGGGATTTGAACTCTGTACCTTGTGATCTACAGTCTGGTGATATATCCACTAGACCACAACACCTCTACTTTAATCATCAATCTATTTTCAATTCCATTGGAATGTTCTCTCCTAAGCCCCTTCTGAATACTCTTCAGCAGTACCTGATGCAGTGTAACTTACCTTAGCACTAGAATGCCACTCTCTGTCTGTGTTTCCCTTCTCAGCATCTAATCTATCCTTCGGAACATGGACCAGTGACTCTCTGCTTATTGCTTGCCGGCATAGAGGGCAGCAAGCACGTTCCTGTAATAGAGATTAATTGCAACGAGGTAGTAGGTTGCAAACCTTAACAAATAATCTGGAACTGACAAGAAAATCTTGAGCGCTATCAAAGATCATGAAATGATTGAACATAACATACCAAATTATTCAGTCATAATGTCACTATTTTTGTAAAAGTTCATCCCACAAATTAACAAATTCAATAATTAGAAAACAAGACATCAAAAGTAAGAAAGTAATATTATGATGAGATGGAACTTATTTGCCAAAGATGCAGACAAAGGTTTGTAAAATCATATGGGAGGAACATGAGGTTAGCCAACATGTAAATGACAGTTCCTACTAAATGTTTGTGTTGTATAGAAATATAAAACAAATCTGTGATTCCAATGCAATTTATAACAGATTTCTTCCCTTAGAACACCAGAGCGCCAATCTTATAAAGAGTTATGATTAATCTGGTTTGACCAATCAATCACAAACTTGCAAAGTCCAATCTCTTTAGTAAACACTTTAGAATAATATCAAGATGCAATCCATTTGAATAAATAATACTAGGTGTACTACTAATGAAGGTTACATTTATATAGTGATTTATACTCATGAATCTAAGCCCTGCACTATAATTACCCCAACATTAGCCGAGCGGCGCTGATAAGGCGCTTTGACATATTCAAGGATTTTTGTTAATACCAGGTACCCTTTTTGTCATCACCTGGGTGGAGAGTGGCAATTAAATCAAAATTGTTTATAAGATAGGGCCAGGTCAAGAATATTACTTCATAGTGAGACGCCCAGTCTGACAGCCTCATGTCTAATACTACTCTGAAAAGGAGAATAGAATAAACAAATGATAAGTAATAATTTCTGAAAATACCTTCTCCGAGATGATGACCTCTTCAATACATCTCTGACAGAAGACATGGGCACATCTTGTGACCACAGGATCTTGCACAGACTCCAGGCAGATACAGCACTCCTACAGAATACAACAAATTATTCAATCCCAGTAGATTAAAAATGGTTTTAAACAAAATGCTCATATCGTAATGATTATACATGTAAATGAGTTGAAGAAATAATTAAATCATTATTTAAATAAAATAAACTTCTGAGAATAATTAAATTTGCTTCTTGTACTTATAAGATATTTGTTAATCCATATTCATGACATTTTATGAATGATTTATAAATCTAAAATATGTCACTGGTGATTTTACCAAGAACTCATGAGTTACTGTTACTTCAATGGAAAGTTTGTTGTGAAATGCAGAAGCAAATTGTTTACGCTTATTGTGTATCAATGAAAAAAATGTTACGTTTTACAAAAAACTACCATAACTTTGTAGTTTTATATTATATTATTGTGAAATTCACTTGGAGTTTACGAAACGTTAGTCAGAATGCTTAATTACTTTTAAAGATATTGGCAGACTAAATCTTGTTGCACCTTTTTGAGATAACCTGTTCATCAGGTTATATTCTGTACGACATAAACTAATAGTTCTGATTGCCTGTTTGTTTGGTGAATTAGTATTACCTCATCAGCTCCTTGACTGAGGAACGATACCAAGATTGCTACCAACTGAGCTTTCTCTTCATCTGTCCTCTCATTACCATCTGTCAAACAAATCATATCAAATAACAACACTTTAAAGATACCCTCTCAAAGATTTCCATGTGTAATGCTGAATGCATCAGTTCGCTTGCACTGGACATGGTGGAGTTACCCAATGTGTGTACAAATCTCACAACAACACTTGAAGCCCACTTTAACATTTCTTAGAATTGGTGTAAAAATGTCACCTTTTAGTTCTGTGTATATTCTCCAGTTTCAGATTGATCTTAATTTCTAGATAAATTCTATCTCCAAATATGGAAACTAAATAGTTTTAAACATAGCCTGGAGACACCTGTTGGGGTTTCTGTTCGGTCATATTTATGACAAAATTAAATGAAAATCCTGTAACGAAAAACCAAATATGTCTTCCGTGTAAATCTTCTGAAACATTTGGCACACGATGAAATAAATTTCATTCCAAATTTCATATTTCCTACGAAAATATAAGCTACCTATAAAGTGACACATACCAATAGCTTGACAAAGCTTAGCAGCGGCCTTAGCACATAATGCTGGATGACAACACAGCTGCCTCAGTCTCAAAATGATGACTAGAATTTCACCGTAGTGATCTAGAACGGTGCCTTCCCGAAAATATCTGGAAGGGGGGGGGGGGTGGAAGATTTTAGCATCTATCAGTAAAATGTGATAAGTGAAATGCTTGTGAATGAACATATACCACATTTATCAGTGACTGTATAGTTGTAAGGAAAATTAATGGCAAGGGGGATGAAAGAAGTAGCTGTGCACAACAAAAGTCCCAAGCATACTCACTTTTCTATGTGTTATACTTTACAAAAAATGTAAGGCACATTAGGCTTGAAAAAACCCTGCGGTAAACCAGTGGATACATGAACATGAACAAGGCTTACTAAATGAGCACTACACTAAAAGCTGTGAGGCGGGCCGTTTTGCACAGCTATTTTTTAAATTTTATACTCACTTTCCACCATTGTCTAATCTACTTCCATCGCTTTTACATAATATTATAAACAGGATGAAAGATTTTACAAATCTGATTCAGAACTATGGGAAAATTGAAAGAAAACTGAAATAAAATGCTTTCTTTTGGTTCTTTGACTTTTGCCAGAATGAGCTCAATGTAGAAATAATGTCACATCACTATAGTGATGCATAATAGTACAAAGTCTTAGATGTCACTTATAAGTACAAGGATAAGTATATAATTCATTGTCCATATCAGGAAATTTGATTTCCACTGGTTTGGTACAAGTAGTAAAATAAAAACTTACATATAATGATTCAAAATACACATACAAAATAGTCATTCTTACAATCAATTCCATCAGAAACATTATCAACTAAATGGCAGACAAATGGACATTTAAACAGTAGGCTTACGGTTGCACCATATGAGAGAGGTGGAAGGATTGGGGAGTCCTGAAAAGGACTGTGGTTAATCTGTCTTTCTTGCCTACGTCGAGACACACACAGCATCTCGCCGACACCACACCCCACCCACTGATACAAAACACCCCCACGTCCACAACCTGGAGACTCAAGCCCAGACAGACACGTAGCTCACCCAAGTTCGCAACCCGGTGACTTAAGCTCACGCACGCTAGCTGTTCCCCACTCCTGACGACAGATAGTCAACCTGTTTGAAACGTCGAGCCCCTCCTACTACCAATCCTCTCCAACTGGCTATAGTTCTCTTAAGAACAATAAGTTCAAGAAAGATTACCAACAGTCCTTTTCAGGACTACCAACAATTCTTTTCATGACTATACAAACACTCTCAAGAAAGAAAGATTTCAAACAGTCCTTTTCAGGACTCCCAAATCCTCCCCCTCTCTCACATGGTACAACTGTAAGCATACTGTATATCTACATCACCATGTAAGCCAATACTTATGTTAAAGCAGCATCTAAATGGACATTTATGCAACAGAAACCAAAGACAAGAAATCTAACTCACTTGCTTACAGCCAGTCTACCCTCCTTCTCGTAGGTCTGATAGACCTTCTTCTCATCCTCTGAGAAGTCTACATATTGAAGTACTACGTTACGAGCTGGTAGATCCACCAAGGGTTTACCATTCACCTTCTGAGACTTCATACGACGCAGAGCAAGGGTGTTCATCAACTTACGAAGTCGACTAGTCAACACAAGAATAAAGGGAAATAATCAAAATGCAATAACAGTACACATCAACTCTTTGTCAGCAGAGTCATTGTTAGCAATGGGTGACCAAATACAAGTACAAATGTAGACTACGATACAATACTCACCCTATGTCAGCAAAGTCAAAGTTAGCAAGGGGTGACCAATTACAAGCCCAAGTGTACACTATGACACAATACTTACCCTATGTCAGCAGAGTCAGAGTTAGCAATGGGTGACCAAATACAAGCCCAAGTGTACACTATGACACGATACTTATCCTATGTCAGCATAGTCAGAGTTAGCAATGGGTGACCAAATACAAGCCCAAGTGTACACTATGACACAATACTTACTCTATGTCAGCATAGTCAGAGTTAGCAATGGGTGACCAATTACAAGCCCAAGTGTACACTATGACACAATACTTACCATATGTCAGCATAGTCAGAGTTAGCAATGGGTGACCAAATACAAGCCCAAGTGTACACTATGACACAATACTTACCATATGTCAGCATAGTCAGAGTTAGCAATGGGTGACCAAATACAAGCCCAAGTGTACACTATGACACAATACTTACTCTATGTCAGCATAGTCAGAGTTAGCAATGGGTGACCAATTACAAGCCCAAGTGTACACTATGACACAATACTTACCCTATGTCAGCATAGTCAGAGTTAGCAATGGGTGACCAATTACAGGCCCAAGTGTACACTATGACACAATACTTACCCTATGTCAGCATAGTCAGAGTTAGCAATGGGTGACCAAATACAAGCCCAAGTGTACACTATGACACAATACTTACTCTATGTCAGCATAGTCAGAGTTAGCAATGGGCGACCAAATACGCGCCAAAGTGTACACTATGACACAATACTTACCCTATGTCAGCATAGTCAGAGTTAGCAATGGGCGACCAAATACCAGGCGAAGTGTAGAATATGATAAAGACTCGCTCTATGTCAGCATAGTCATTGTTTGCTTTGGGTGACCTAATAACAGCCCAAGTGTAGACTAAGAGTTAGAGTTAGCAATGGGTGACCACATACAAGCCCAAGAGGAGACTACGATACAATACTCACCCTATGCCAGCAGAGTCATTGTCAGCAATGGATCTAGCTTTCCTCAATTGCCACCTGTTAAGATTAGGATCGAATGGTTCGTGTTCCATACCAAGGAATGCTACCAGAGTCCACAGGTCTTTAATACTGTTCTGGATTGGGGTACCTACACAGATGTGATAGTGCACCACAGAAATGATAAATGTCACTTAAATAGCGCCAAATCCTTCATGTGGAGTGCTCAAGGCGCATGTAGAAATAATCAAGAATTAAACAGAGGCGATGTACATGATTGTAAAAGGAATCAAAGGTTGTACATTTGTTGATGTCTTACGATTATGAGTTGCTCTTTGATTATCATTCATCATATGTTGTGCATCCTATTTCTGTTCTTTGTAAACTATGTTTGAGCCTTTATTTTCCATGTTCAGTTTCCATGAAATTACTGGTTTCAAGTGATACTATTCAAAATAAGAAAAAAAGAAATGGAAGTCCCAACAGGCCCTTCAATTCTAAATTTTCCCACAAGTCTAAGGCAATTAACATGAGCATTTAAAATACAATGTAATTCTTTTATCTCTTGTTTGACGTACCTGTTAAAGCCCATTTGCATTGTGCTTTGAGAGCGATAGCCGCTTGTGCTTGTAGAGTACGACGGTTACGGATTATATGAGCTTCATCCAGCACGATACGCAGCCATTCAATCTTCTGAAGGGTACCCTTCTCCTGATGCATAATAACATATTTTCTCATTAGCATTTAAAAAGACAAGTAAGTCTTCTTAGAAAGATTCCTATATTATGAAATAATTTCAATAACAAATTTTCATCTAGGTATTTCTGTAAGGTTATCCAAGGATTTTCATGATATCTGTCCTTTTCTAACTAACCTTTATTATCATTGTGCTTAAAGGGGAAGTCCACCCTGAAAATAAGTTGTTTTAATACAAGGATAAAATGAGAAGAACAGATCAGTGAAGGTAGGAGAAAAATCAGACAATTAATAAGAAAGTTATGGATTTCTTTAATAAGTAACTTTTCATGAAATACTTAAAATCTGTAAGTTGAAGTCCCATTTTGATCAAAAGATATATTTTCTTCATGCTTATCTTGATCATATATCACAGATAACATATTCTTTCATAAACTCCCATATAAGATAGGTTTACTATTCGATTAACATTCAGAGAAATGGAGATTTGGGTCATTCTGTCAATCAGATCAGTGGTGAATACACCCTTTTACGGTTAAGGCCGGCATTTTAATTTGGGCGTAAACATTGCATCATTAATGTTTTGAGATGTGCTGTGCGCTCACATCATATTTACATGGGCATGCGCATTGTTATAACCGTAAAAGGGTGTATTATAAGGGGATGACATCACAATTTCTGACCAGATTGCCAAATTGTCTCAAAGATTCCATGATTTCCGGACTTTGAAAGATTCTTTTAATACTTTCTTATTTGTTGTCTGATTTTTCTCAAACTTTCACTGAATTATTTCTCTGTTTTTTCTGCTTCTATTAAAACCAATTTAATATTAGGATGGACTTCTTCTTTAAAGACCCTATCAGATGAAAATACAACCTTGTGCCAATGGAAAGCTGAATGAATGTAGAATACAAATATAAAGGAATAAAGAACATTTTCCCTTTCAGTATTCAAATTTGAGGCAATAACAGTAAGATATTTAGCCAACTTCGGTATTCATTTAAAGTTTTTGGCCAAGTATTTTACCCTAAGTTTAAGACAGCTCTCTAGCAGACTTTAGCAAATTATTTAGGAAACCTTAATTGGCAGGTATGTGGTTTTATTATTGCACATTTAATATGATGCGTTAATTGTGCGGTATTACAATGCCTTTCAGTATTTTGCATTAAAGTGTGCTTGCTTCTGTAAAATGTTCAAATGTTATCTGAAAAAAAAATAAGACATGTTACTTATCCAAGCAAAACATTAAGTAAAATACTGACAAATAATCATTTTGATCGGCAATGTATGAATCCATAGAGATGGCTCTGGTCATAATAAGACAATGCTACCTATGAATTTTCATTCAACACAAAATTAGGGAGTTGAGAAGGTTTACCTGCTTCGCTTTAAACTCTGCAGCCAAAGTACCGTATGTAGTGATGACGACATCTTGTTGTTTTAGATAATCAACCGTCAATTTCTTCTTTTCTGCTCCATGATACATACATACATTCACCTGCACTTCATCTGCTACATGTTCATTGAGTTGATCCTTTAAAAATATAAAACAAAACAAAACAAAATTAATAATTAGATGAAAAATGACCATAAATTGGAAAAAAAATACCTGATTTGGAAAAGAAAGAAGAAAAAAGGTTTTCTATTCATTTTGTGCGCAAATATATTGAAATAAATCATCCATTTTCACAGTGACATAAGATCAGATTATCATCCATGCCTTTTTTTCATATTTGATCTACATTTGGTTAAAATCTGTGCAGTGGTTCTAAAGTTGTCTCTGTAACAAATATTTGGATATATTAATAACCCTCAAAACATATCGCCTTTCCCTTATGATGGCACAGGCAAAGGATAAAAAAAAAAATGAGTAATAACAAGAAATCAATTTTCATTTACATTCAAAATAATAGGAATTTGATTTGTACCATTGCACAACATTGGCTAGACTGTATAGATATCCCCTTAGCCATTCATATACTCTTAGTTCCCCACCACATTTTGGGCTAATTTTTTCAACTTTTTCAACTAAAAAAATTTCAAATTTATAAAATTGTACCTTTCAGACGCTGGGTAGTGGGTTCTCATAGGAATCCAAAACCAGTTGGGTGCTTACCCAATACGTTGTCAATTACCAGGATTAGCCTTCAGTTTATAACTAACAGGCCTTATGTAATACTCTGCATTTCCCATCAATCGTCCGATATGGTAAAGTCATTATTTTACAGTTGCCTTACTAGAAGACTCTTTGAGAGATTAGGGGAGATTTCTTGATAGGTCTATGGGCTTGCTTCATGCAGACTTGTACACCTAATGATGGTATTCTCACCAAGTCTAATGTCAGCGAATTATAAATTTCTGCACATGGAAACTGATGACCCTCTCACTTAAGAAGACAAAGACAATTATGATGGCAAGCTCTGCTCTATACTTACAATCCAATTTGACATAACCGACAGCGGGCAAACTATGAGAGTAGTGCGTGGTTTGGCAGCATCTCCATGTCCACGGTGACCTTTAACCTCAGCTTTCATTGGTTTACTAACCTCAGCTTTCATTGGTTTACTAACCTCAGCCTTCATTGGTTTACTAAACCAATGAGAGCTGAGTTTAAAAGGCACCATGGAGTTGATTGGTGGGCATGGGCCAGGGAGTGAGGCTACTGGTTGGCTAGGTCCTTTCACCTTGGGTGCTGTGGCCATTTTGGGCAGCTTCATTTTAGCTGCAGTAGACGAGAAGAAAGATATCTACATGATCTTCATGACCAAATGAAAACATGCACTGCATGGCTAGAACACTAGTACAAATACAAATCTGGTCAGGATGAAATGAAGATTATTCAGTCTAACAAGGTAATGTGAATATTCACAACGGCTTCAAAATTTTAAAGCCGTGATATCAATAACTGCTTTGAGCATCGTCTTGGGGTAAAATGTTGTGTTTTATAAATGTCTGCATTACTATCATTATCACCCATACATAGAAATCAGGACAGGCATACTATCAATCATACAGAATGACAGTGGCGCTCTTTATTTGTACATGTATGATTGAAAGTATACTTATCTTACCTTTCTTTTCAGGGGATGGATTGTCATCTGAATCATCATTGAATATGAACTTTATATTGGCAGCACTTGCCCTGCAAATAGAAATACAGCAATGTTGAAAATATTAACATTAAGTTTCAATTTTCAAGTTTTATTTAGCTTTCTTTCATAACACACATTACAAATATGACATGAATATAACAAGTTGACAGAATATGGCGTTACAATAGATAGATGAGGTGACCTTGGTTTAAAACAAGGCTTGTGGAATTAAGGTCCCTCATGAATATGAGTATGTCCTAAATGAACAAACTCGTCACATAAGAATACTGCATACATTAAAATGCTTACAAACTAAAATAACTGAAGAATTGGGAAAAATATAAACATAAATAAGCATAAATAAATCTGCTGACTACTAAATAATGGCTATAAACAAGAGAAGCAGGAAAATACTACAAGCAACAGGACAAAAAACATGGCAGTAGTCTGGAATACTTATGTTTGAGCAAGTCCAAGATATTTTGTCCCATATGTTACAGATCACATCTAGGACTTTAGAATATAGAATTATTGTATAAGATCAATAGATTTATTAGAGCTTAGATCAGACAAAATTTGAAGCAAAATGAGAGATTTTATATTGATTTATGTTCATAATTCCACAAGACTTGGTAATGTTTCAGACAACAAATGACCAAACACCTTGGATTCGCCCATTTGACAAGAAGATACACAAAAAAGGAAAATAGAGTATTGTCTGACCTGATTTCGTTGTCAGTGTCTCCCCGGAGAATCTTTGGGCTTCTCTGCATGGACGAGTAGTAGCGCTGCACAGCACCAGCATAAACCTGATCACCTTCTAGAGTGAAAGCCTCTCTGCAGTTCCTAGGGGGCTGTCTCAGGGAATTCCGGACCTCCTTGCTTAATTTCTCAATCAATAAGATGGTCTCTACACCACGCTGAAGATAGGATTCAAAGGGTTAAATGAACACTGTCTATGTCATCAATGTCAATAAAAGGCTCATGAAGTCATCAATGTTCAAACCCTTGGCTATATGGTTTCAAGAAACAATGAAGATACAACTGTATTAATAATAATAATAGGCATTTCTATAGCACCGTCTATCTACATAATTCTATTCTGAGGCGCATTTATTATTACCCTGGCTTTAGCCTAGCTACCATTACAGCGCTCCAGCATCTCAAGGACTTTGTGTCAGATTGAAAATGATACATATTATTGTATCCATGGAAAAAAAAGAGAATAATTTGCAATAGACAAAACAAACTTATAAATGTAAATATTCTTCAAGATCTGTCTGTACCCGACCAAACACTCTGTATCTATATCAGCATTTCAATATATTTCAATAAAAACCTCATAGGTTGCATTAAATTCATTGGATAGACTCCCCTAACCATCTGAGGTAAAATGAAGTTTACCTGATTGACAAGAGTGTTGAAGATTACTGGATTGCTGACATCAACGATATCTAGAAAGCTGGGGAAGTCGTTACTCTGTACAGATGAACTACGGATGTCATACCGGTTTGCCTGTATAGTGACCAAGATTGATGAGAAGGCCGGGTGAAAGAAGAGGTAACGCATATCGAGATAGTGTTACGTCAGCAAATATTTGCCAGAAATGTTTTACACTTGCAGCAATAAAAGGGTTGTATGACACATGTGTAAGAATATTTATGAATATTCATTAGGAGCAGCTACACTGTAAGCGCGCACAAATACTTGTGACGTAATAAAGAGTTTTAAAACTCATCAGTTTTGAGTTAGACACATGAACATGATGTCGTCCGTGTCTTGTATTGTCCTAGTTAGTTAGATTTGAGTGAATCAACGCTAGGCTAACAGCTATCAAAACATGATGGCAGCAGTGGGATAAAAGAATATGCCACAGTGACATCTGCTGCACAGTCACTATGAGTTCTTAATATCAATCCTGGAACAAACACTGTACATAACCCTAACCCTTGACAATTTTAATTGCACATATTGTACGTTCAGAGACGGAAGGGCTCTAACTGGTGTATTTGTACATAGAGTAAACATCCTTATAACACTACGCAGGTGATATCAAGTACCATATCATCATCCTGACTTTAAGCTTAGGTGCCTTTCAAGGTTTTCAAAAGCACTCAATAAATTATGTCCAAACAGACGGTCAATTACTGCATCTTGGAAGAGAGTCCAAAATATACACTAAACCAAGCCAAGCCACTAATGTCTTTCCAAAGGATATCTGACCCAGTCACACCACTACACCATCTACAAACTAACCAACACGTGAGGAAATGTTGGCCATTTGGGGTATTGTCGTTTTTTGTCTGTTTGTTTAATCTTCTGGGCTGGTGTTGGCTTGTCAGCGTGACTATATATGGTACAAGGGTACAGAAGAGATTTGAATTCTGGAGATATATCCACTTGACAGCTAGAACTCGACACAAAGCAACTGGTAAATAGAGTCCTGGAATACTTCAAATCTGAGGTATGCCAGGACTCTGTTCCAATGACACAAACAAAAACTGTAATGAAAATAATTAAAATAATAACAATATAGCGTGTTTCCCATATACAAATTTCAAATGCACTTTACAATTTTGTTTGTTACCGACAGAAAAGGTGAGTTTTGAAATAATGAACTATCCTTGTGTACCTCAAACTTTGAAGTAATGATAGAGGGTTGAGTAGCATTCTGTGGGATGAGACGATTCATGATCTCCTTGAGGATACTAACATCATGCTGGTCATGACAACGGAAGGAATATATCAATCGTTTCAAGCAAGATTCCACACCAAGCGCCCAACGAACATCCTTCAGCTTTAAGAATGATCCTGGAAAAAAAACAGATTTTTGAACAAAACCTACTGAGCAAGTTGTTTTTTGCTGACACAAAGAATCATTACGTAATAAACACTCTAAAACTCCAATCCATTTTTATATCAAGTCAATGAACTAAGGTAAAAGAGCGATCTTTTTTTTCATAATTAAAAGTATTGAGCAGTAATATGGAAAGCATCTGTTGGATAGGTTTTCTACATCATGGGGGTGGGGACGGTTGTTTGACAATTCATCAGATAACATGTACATGAAACATTTGTTATACATCATAAAAAGAAATCTAGGAATTCAGTCGAGGTAAATCATTCTCCAATCCCATGTATTCCATCTTTAGTAAACTGTTTGTTGTAACACAGACAAGCAAATATTTGTTGGACATTTGTTGCACGCATCCCAACCTGCCTTTTATTTGGCACCTAAAAAAACACCTCTGCTGGGGTTCAAACGCAGCATGTGCAAATGAGAGTTCTCTGCTAAAACAATGGTAACACATTCTTACCCACAGGACCAAGGGGTTTCTGGTGGAACTGATTGTTAGCAGTACATCGGTCAATCTCTGCTAGTAAGTTAGGCATGTAGTCCGCGTACAGCTTCAGCCTTTTCTTTCTGCTTCCTTCAAGGTTATCTAGTCTTCTCTTCTCAGCAGTTACGGCTGGAGTTAGCTCACTATCTGTGGATCTGCAGACACCATCATGACATTTGCCAGAACTGTATTACTATCTCATGAAACAAATTTAGCAGGATGGTTTGAATCATTAATTATTGAGTCTACAGCACAGTATTTACCTGTGACAGGTTCAATGTCTATATGTTTGAGATACACCTGTACCTTCCTTCAACTCAAAGAGGTGCTATATGGCTCAGTGGTAGAGCAGTGATCTCATAACTAGGAGGTCTCAGGTTTGAAACCAATTTGATGCGCTATTGCCCTTTGATAAGGCATTAATCCTCATTACCAAGTCCCTCAGAGAGGACTTTTAAAGCCATTGGTCCCCTGGTTGCTTTCTTAGCAAACCAACCAACCAATGTAGTCTACTGGCGAATTGAAGTTGGCTGCTTGTTTCATAGAATCTTCATAGAACCATCATGGAAACTGTGGCTAACTTCAGTTTTCCAATATATATCTGAGGAGGGTATCTGAACCAAAGACATCAAAACTTTCAGAGCTAAATTCCATTTAGATGCGTCATAGAGCTCATTCCTATCACGATAACTTGCTTTTGTTAAATGCATTACACACCTTGGATGGTTTCAAGCTCAATATTAATTTCAACTGTTTTGCAGCTTATGAACAAATTTCCATCTACATATTTACCAGAATTTGAAGGTGCATCATGCATAAAATAGTCATTATGCACTTCCATGAAGATCCAGTATTTCTTTATTATGCATGGTATTATTTACCAAGGGGAAATTTAAGAAACTACTTTTTTTTTCATTTGCAGATTAAGCATGCAATCTCTTGTAGACGGAAAACTTCACCATTTTATTCCTATTTATTGCCATGGATACAAACTATTGTATCAATACAAGTCTTTTTAAGCATGATTTACAATTTGTTTATCTTAATTTTTCATCAAATATCTTACTGCAGTCCGTAATTCTGCTCTCTAGCACTGTTGACAGCAAACTGGTCAATCTCCCTGGCAGCATTCTGCTTCTGAGCTTCCAGATCTCTCTTCTCTTCCATCAATGCAGAGACTTGTCTTTCTTTCTCAAGCCTCTCCTCTTCAAACTGTGCCTGGTCCCTGTGGTTGCAACAAAAAATACAGAAAATTCATGATTTACGTCCTGTCATCTTTACAGTTTATTATGACAACAAATGACCCATTGGATTTGCCCATTTGTCAAGAAGATACACTAAACCGAAAAATAGACTATTGTCTGACCTGATCTCGTTGTCGGTGTCTCCCCGGAGAATCTTTGCGCTTTTCTGCATGGACGTGTAGTAGCGCTGCTCAGCACCAGCATAAACCTGATCACCTTCTAGAGTGAAAGCCTCTCTGCAGTTCTTAGGGGGCTGTCTCAGGGAATTCCGGACATCCTTGCTTAATTTCTCAATCAATAAGATGCTCTCTACACCACGCTGAAGATAGGATTCAAAGGGTTAAATGAACACTGTCTATGTCATCAATGTCAATAAAAGGCTCATGAAGTCATCAATGTTCCAACCCTTGGCTATATGGTTTCAAGAAACAATGAAGATACAACTGTATTAATAATAATAATAGGCATTTCTATAGCACCGTCTATCTACATAATTCTATTCCGAGGCGCATTTATTATTACCCTGGCTTTAGCCTAGCTGCCATTACAGCGCTCCAGCATCTCAAGGACTTTGTGATACATATTATTATTATATCCATGGATATATTGTATCCATGGAAAAAAAAGAGAATAATTTGCAATAGACAAAACAAACTTATAAATGTAAATATTCTTCAAGATCTGTTTGTACCCGACCAAACCCTCTGTATCTATATCAGCATTTCAATATATTTCAATAAAAACCTCATAGGTTGCATTAAATTCATTGGATAGATTCCCCTAACTATCTGAAGTACAATGAAGTTTACCTGATTGACAAGAGTGTTGAAGATTACTGAATTGCTGACATCAACGATATCTAGAAAGCCGGGGAAGTCGTTACTCTGTACAGATGAACTACGGATGTCATACCGGTTTGCCTGTATAGTGACCAAGATTGATGAGAAGGCCGGGTGAAAGAAGAGGTATCGCATATCTAGATAGTGTTACGTCAGCAAATATTTGCCAGAAATGTTTTACACTTGCAGCAATAAAAGGGTTGTATGACACATGTGTAAGAATATTTATAAATATTCATTACGAGCAGCTACACTGTAAGCGTGCACGAATACTTGTGACGTAATAAAGAGTTTTAAGACTCATCAGTTTTGAGTTAGACACCTGTACATGATGTCATCCGTGTCTTGTATTGTGCTAGTTAGTTGGATTTGAGTGAATCAACGCTAAGGCTAACAGCTATCAAAACATGATAGCAGCGGTGGGATAAAACAATATGCCACAGTGACATCTGCTGCACAGTCACTATGAGTTCTTAATATCAATCCTGGAACAAACACTGTACATAACCCTAACCTTGACAATTTTAATTGCACATATTGTACGTTCAGAGACGGAAGGGCTCTAACTGGTGTATTTGTACATAGAGTAAACATCCTTATAACACTACGCAGGTGATATCAAGTACCTTATTATCATCCTGACTTAAAGCCTAGGTGCCTTTCAAGGTTTTCAAAAGCACTCAATAAATCACTTCCAAACAGACAGTCAATTACTGCATCTTGGAAGAGAGTCCAAAATATACACTAAACCAAGCCAAGCCACTAATGTCTTTCCAAAGGACATCTGACCCAGTCACACCACTACACCGTCTACAAACTAACCAACACGTGAGGAAATGTTGGCCATTTGGGGTATTGTCGTTTTTTGTCTGTTTGTTTAGTCTTCTGGGCTGGTGTTGGCTTTTCAGCGTGACTAGGCTACAGGCTAGGTACAGAAGAGATTTGAATTCTGGGGATATATCCACTTGACAGCTAGAACTCGACACAAAGCAACTGGCAAATAGAGTCCTGGAATACTTCAAATCTGAGGTATGCCAGGACTCTGTTCCAATGACACAAACAAAAACTGTAATGAAAATAATTAAAATAATAACAATATAGCGCGTTTCCCATATACAAATTTCAAATGCACTTTACAATTTTGTTTGTTACCGACAGAAAAGGTGAGTTTTGAAATAATGAACTATCCATGTGTACCTCAAACTTTGAAGTAATGATAGAGGGTTGAGTAGCATTCTGTGGGATGAGACGATTCATGATGTCCTTGAGGATACTAGCATCATGCTGGTCATGACAACGGAAGGAATATATCAATCGTTTCAAGCAAGATTCCACACCAAGCGCCCAACGAACATCCTTCAGCTTTAAGAATGATCCTGGAAAAAAAACAGATTTTTGAACAAAACCTACTGAGCAAGTTGTTTTTAGCTGACACAAAGAATCATTACGTAATAAACACTCTAAAACTCCAATCCATTTTTATATCAAGTCAATGAACTAAGGTAAAAGAGTGATCTTTTTTTCATAATTAAAAGTATTGAGCAGTAATATGGAAAGCATCTGTTGGATAGGCTTTCTACATCATGGGGGTGGAGACGGTTGTTTGACAATTCATCAGATAACATGTACATGAAACATTTGTTATACATCATAAAAAGAAATCTAGGAATTCAGTCGAGGTAAATCATTCTCCAATCCCATGTATTCCTTCTTTAGTAAACTGTTTGTTGTAACACAGACAAGCAAATATTTGTTGGACATTTGTTGCACGCATCCCAACCTGCCTTTTATTTGGCACCTAAAAAAACACCTCTGCTGGGGTTCAAACGCAGCATGTGCAAATGAGAGTTCTCTGCTAAAACAATGGTAACAAATTCTTACCCACAGGACCAAGGGGTTTCTGGTGGAACTGATTGTTAGCAGTACATTGGTCAATCTCTGCCAGTAAGTTAGGCATGTAGTCCGCGTACAGCTTCAGCCTTTTCTTTCTGCTTCCTTCAAGGTTATCTAGTCTTCTCTTCTCAGCAGTTACGGCTGGAGTTAGCGCACTATCTGTGGATCTGCAGACACCATCATGACATTTGCCAGAACTGTATTACTATCTCATGAAACAAATTTAGCAGGATGGTTTGAATCATTAATTATTGAGTCTATGGCACAGTATTTACCTGTGACAGGTTCGATGTCTATATGTTTGAGATACACCTGTACCTTCCTTCAACTCAAAGAGGTGCTATATGGCTCGGTGGTAGAGCAGTGGTCTCGTAACTAGGAGGTCTCAGGTTTGAAACCAATTTGATGCGCTATTGCCCTTTGATAAGGCATTAATCCTCATTACCAAGTCCCTCAGAGAGGACTTAAAGCCATTGGTCCCCTGGTTGCTTTCTTAGCAAACCAACCAACCAATGTAGTCTACTGGCGAATTGAAGTTGGCTGCTTGTTTCATAGAATCTTCATAGAACCATCATGGAAACTGTGGCTAACTTTAGTTTTCCAATATATATCTGAGGAGGGTATCTGAACCAAAGACATCAAAACTTTCAGAGCTAAATTCCATTTGGATCCGATGCGTCATAGAGCTCATTCCTATCACGAAATTTTGCTTTTGTTAAATGCATTACACACCTTGGATGGTTTTAAGCTCAATATTAATTTCAACTGTTTTGCAGCTTATGAACAAATTTCCATCTACATATTTACCAGAATTTGAAGGTGCATCATGCATAAAATATGCACTTCCATGAAGATCCAGTATTTCTTTATTATGCATGGTATTATTTACCAAGGGGAAATTTAAGAAACTACTTTTTTTTTCATTTGCAGATTAAGCATGCAATCTCTTGTAGACGGAAAACTTCACCATTTTATTCCTATTTATTGCCATGGATACAAACTATTGTATCAATACAAGTCTTTTTAAGCATGATTTACAATTTGTTTATCTTAATTTTTCATCAAATATCTTACTGCAGTCCGTAATTCTGCTCTCTAGCACTGTTGACAGCAAACTGGTCAATCTCCCTGGCAGCATTCTGCTTCTGAGCTTCCAGATCTCTCTTCTCTTCCATCAATGCAGAGACTTGTCTTTCTTTCTCAAGCCTCTCCTCTTCAAACTGTGCCTGGTCCCTGTGGTTGCAACAAAAAATACAGAAAATTCATGATTTACGTCCTGTCATCTTTACAGTTTATTATGACAACAAATGACCCATTGGATTTGCCCATTTGTCAAGAAGATACACTAAACCGAAAAATAGACTATTGTCTGACCTGATCTCGTTGTCGGTGTCTCCCCGGAGAATCTTTGCGCTTTTCTGCATGGACGTGTAGTAGCGCTGCTCAGCACCAGCATAAACCTGATCACCTTCTAGAGTGAAAGCCTCTCTGCAGTTCTTAGGGGGCTGTCTCAGGGAATTCCGGACATCCTTGCTTAATTTCTCAATCAATAAGATGCTCTCTACACCACGCTGAAGATAGGATTCAAAGGGTTAAATGAACACTGTCTATGTCATCAATGTCAATAAAAGGCTCATGAAGTCATCAATGTTCCAACCCTTGGCTATATGGTTTCAAGAAACAATGAAGATACAACTGTATTAATAATAATAATAGGCATTTCTATAGCACCGTCTATCTACATAATTCTATTCCGAGGCGCATTTATTATTACCCTGGCTTTAGCCTAGCTGCCATTACAGCGCTCCAGCATCTCAAGGACTTTGTGTCAGATTGAAAATGATACATATTATTGTATCCATGGAAAAAAAAGAGAATAATTTGCAATAGACAAAACAAACTTATAAATGTAAATATTCTTCAAGATCTGTTTGTACCCGACCAAACCCTCTGTATCTATATCAGCATTTCAATATATTTCAATAAAAACCTCATAGGTTGCATTAAATTCATTGGATAGATTCCCCTAACTATCTGAAGTACAATGAAGTTTACCTGATTGACAAGAGTGTTGAAGATTACTGAATTGCTGACATCAACGATATCTAGAAAGCCGGGGAAGTCGTTACTCTGTACAGATGAACTACGGATGTCATACCGGTTTGCCTGTATAGTGACCAAGATTGATGAGAAGGCCGGGTGAAAGAAGAGGTATCGCATATCTAGATAGTGTTACGTCAGCAAATATTTGCCAGAAATGTTTTACACTTGCAGCAATAAAAGGGTTGTATGACACATGTGTAAGAATATTTATAAATATTCATTACGAGCAGCTACACTGTAAGCGCGCACGAATACTTGTGACGTAATAAAGAGTTTTAAGACTCATCAGTTTTGAGTTAGACACCTGTACATGATGTCATCCGTGTCTTGTATTGTGCTAGTTAGTTGGATTTGAGTGAATCAACGCTAAGGCTAACAGCTATCAAAACATGATAGCAGCGGTGGGATAAAACAATATGCCACAGTGACATCTGCTGCACAGTCACTATGAGTTCTTAATATCAATCCTGGAACAAACACTGTACATAACCCTAACCTTGACAATTTTAATTGCACATATTGTACGTTCAGAGACGGAAGGGCTCTAACTGGTGTATTTGTACATAGAGTAAACATCCTTATAACACTACGCAGGTAATATCAAGTACCATATCATCATCCTGACTTTAAGCTTAGGTGCCTTTCAAGGTTTTCAAAAGCACTCAATAAATTATGTCCAAACAGACAGTCAATTACTGCACCTTGGAAGAGAGTCCAAAATATACACTAAACCAAGCCAAGCCACTAATGTCTTTCCAAAGGACATCTGACCCAGTCACACCACCGTCTACAAACTAACCAACATGTGAGGAAATGTTGGCCATTTGGAGTATTGTCGTTTTTTGTCTGTTTGTTTAGTCTTCTGGGCTGGTGTTGGCATGTCAGCGTGACTATATATGGTACAAGGGTACAGAAGAGATTTGAATTTTGGAGATATATCCACTTGACAGTTAGAACTCTACACAAAGCAACTGGCAAATAGAGTCCTGGAATACTTCAAATCTGAGGTATGCCAGGACTCTGTTCCAATGACACAAACAAAAACTATAATGATAATGAAACAATTAAAAATTATTATAATAATGTATTCATATAGCGCGTTTCCAATATACAAGTTCAAATGCACATTACAATTTTGTTACTGACAGAAAAGGGGAGTTTTGAAATAATGAACTATCCTTGTGTACCTCAAACATTGAAGTAATGATAGAGGGTTGAGGAGTATTCTGTGGGATGAGACGATTCATGATCTCCTTGAGAACACTAGCATCATGGTCATCATGACAACGGAAGGAATACATCAATCGTTTCAAGCAAGATTCCACACCAAGCGCCCAACGAACATCCGTCAGCTTTAAGAATGATCCTGGAAAAAAACAACAGATTTTTGAACAAAACGAATCATTATGAAATAAATACTCTAAAACTGCAATCCATTTTTATATCAAGTGAATGAACTTGGGTAAAAGAGTGATATTTTTTTCATAATTAAAAGTATTGAGCAGTAATATGGAAAGCATCTGTTGGATAGGTCTTCTACATCATGGGGGTGGGGCAGGTTGTTTGACAATTCATCAGATAACATGTATATTAAACATTTGTTGTACATCATAAAAAGAAATCTAGGAATTCAGTCGAGGTAAGTCATTCTCCAATCCCATATATTCCTTTTCTTCTTTAGTAAACTGTTTGTTGTAACACAGACAAGCAAATATTTGTTGGACCATTGTTGCACGCATCCCCACCTGCCTTTTATGTGGCACCTAAAAAAACACCTCTGCTGGGGGTTTAAACGCAGCATGTGCAAATGAGAGTTCTCTGCTAAAGCAATGGTAACACATTCTTACCCACAGGACCAAGGGGTTTCTGGTGGAACTGATTGTTAGCAGTACACCGGTCAATCTCTGCCAGTAAGTTTGGCATGTAGTCCGCATACAGCTTCAGCCTTTTCTTGCTGCTTCCTTCAAGGTTCTCTAGTCTTCTCTTCCCAGCAGTTACCGCTTGAGTTAGCTCACTATCTTTGGATCTGCAAACACCATCATGACATTTGCCAGAACTGTATTACTATCTCATGAAACAAATTTAGCAGGATGGTTTGAATCATTAATTATTGAGTCTATGGCACAGTATTTACCTGTGACAGGTTCGATGTCTATATGTTCGAGATACACCTGTACCTTCCTTCAACTCAAAGAGGTGCTATATGGCTCGGTGGTAGAGCAGTGGTCTCGTAACTAGGAGGTCTCGGGTTTGAAATCAATTTGATGCGCTAGTGCCCTTTGGTAAAGCATTAATCTTCATTGCCAAGTCCCTCAGAGAGGACTTTTACAGCCATTGGTCCCCTGGTTGCTTTCTTAGCAAACCAACCAACCAATGTAGTCTACTGGCGAATTGAAGTTGGCTGCTTGTTTCATAGAATCTTAATAGAACCATCATGGAAACTGTGGCTAACTTTAGTTTTCCAATATATATCTGAGGAGGGTATCTGAACCAAAGACATCAAAACTTTCAGAGCTAAATTCCATTTGGATGCGTCATAGAGCTCATTCCTATCATGATAACTTGCTTTTGTTAAATGCATTACAAACTTTGGATGGTTTCAATTTGAAGGTGCATCATGCATAAAATATGCACTTCCATGAAGATCCTGTATTTCTTTATTATGCATGGTATTATTTACCAAGGGGAAATTTAAGAAACTACTTTTTTTTTCATTTGCAGATGAAGCATGCAATCTCTTGTACACTGAAAACTTCACTATTTCATTCCTATTTATTGCCATGGATACAAACAGCTATATCAATACAAGTCATGTCAAGCATGATTTACAATTTGTTTATCTTAATTTTTCATCAAATATCTTACTGCAATCCGTAATTCTGCTCTCTAGCACTGTTGACAGCAAACTGGTCAATCTCCCTGGCAACATTCTGCTTCTGAGCTTCCAGATCTCTCTTCTCTTCCATCAATGCAGAGACTCGTCTTTCTCTCTCAAGCCTGTCCTCTTCAAACTGTGCCTGGTCCCTGTGATTGCAACAAGAAATACAGAAAATTCATGATTTACGTCCTGTCATCTTTACAGTTTATTATGACAACAAATGACCTATTAGATTTGCCCATTTGTCAAGAAGATACACTAAACCGAAAAATAGACTATTGTCTGACCTGATCTCGTTGTCGGTGTCTCCCCGGAGAATCTTTGCACTTTTCTGCATGGACGTGTAGTAGCGCTGCTCAGCACCAGCATAAACCTGATCACCTTCTAGAGTGAAAGCCTCTCTGCAGTTCTTAGGGGGCTGTCTCAGGGAATTCCGGACATCCTTGCTTAATTTCTCAATCAATAAGATGCTCTCTACACCACGCTGAAGATAGGATTCAAAGGGTTAAATGAACACTGTCTATGTCATCAATGTCAATAAAAGGCTCATGAAGTCATCAATGTTCAAACCCTTGGCTATATGGTTTCAAGAAACAATGAAGATACAACTGTATTAATAATAATAATAGGCATTTCTATAGCACCGTCTATCTACATAATTCTATTCCAAGGCGCATTTATTATTACCCTGGCTTTAGCCTAGCTGCCATTACAGCGCTCCAGCATCTCAAGGACTTTGTGTCAGATTGAAAATGATACATATTATTGTATCCATGGAAAAAAAAAAAGAGAATAATTTGCAATAGACAAAACAAACTTATAAATGTAAATATTCTTCAAGATCTGTTTGTACCCGACCAAACACTCTGTATCTATATCAGCATTTCAATATATTTCAATAAAAACCTCATAGGTTGCATTAAATTCATTGGATAGACTCCCCTAACCATCTGAAGTACAATGAAGTTTACCTGATTGACAAGAGTGTTGAAGATTACTGGATTGCTGACATCAACGATATCTAGAAAGCCGGGGAAGTCGTTACTCTGTACAGATGAACTACGGATGTCATACCGGTTTGCCTGTATAGTGACCAAGATTGATGAGAAGGCCGGGTGAAAGAAGAGGTATCGCATATCTAGATAGTGTTACGTCAGCAAATATTTGCCAGAAATGTTTTACACTTGCAGCAATAAAAGGGTTGTATGACACATGTGTAAGAATATTTATAAATATTCATTAGGAGCAGCTACACTGTAAGCGCGCACGAATACTTGTGACGTAATAAAGAGTTTTAAGACTCATCAGTTTTGAGTTAGACACATGAACATGATGTCATCCGTGTCTTGTATTGTGCTAGTTAGTTAGATTTGAGTGAATCAATGCTAGGCTAACAGCTATCAAAACATGATGTCATCCGTGTCTTTTATTGTGCTAGTTAGTTAGATTTGAGTGAATCAACGCTAGGCTAACAGCTATCAAAACATGATGTCATCCGTGTCTTGTATTGTGCTAGTTAGTTAGATTTGAGTGAATCAACGCTAAGGCTAACAGCTATCAAAACATGATGTCATCCGTGTCTTGTATTGTGCTAGTTAGTTAGATTTGAGTGAATCAACACTAGGCTAACAGCTATCCAAACATGATGTTGTCCGTGTCTTTTATTGTGCTAGTTAGTTAGATTTGAGTGAATCAACGCTAGGCTAACAGCTATCAAAACATGATGGCAGCGGTGGGATATAACAATATGCCACAGTGACATCGGCTGCACAGTCACTATGAGTTCTTAATATCAATCCTGGAACAAACACTGTACATAACCCTAAACCCTTGACAATTTTAATTGCACATATTTTACGATCAGAGACAGAAGGGCTCTAACTGGTGTATTTGTACATAGAGTAAACATCCTTATAACGTTAAGCAGGGGATATCCAGTACCATATTATCACTCAACAAATTATTTCCAAACAGACAGTCAATTAAAGGTACTACAAAGTTTTGGGAAATTTGAAAATTGGGTGGATAGTGAAACTTTACAATTTTGATATATTTGGATGCCCCTGTGGATGTCTTATAAGCACTAAAAATATTAGCCCCTATAACACTTCTGTTTTTCGAGAAATAATAAAATTGAATATAAAAAATTTACCGGTGCTCCCAGTAAATTTTGATAAATTTCAAATAGCACCTATGGCCGTACAATGGTAGCTGCGACCATGACAATCTCAGAATATGTAGTTGTGATCTATAATTTCCAAACAGGAATAAGTAACAGGTCGATTTTAGTCAATAAACATTGTTTCATAGCTAAATTAATATCTTGACTGTGAGAGGGAGCTACACAACATAAAGAGTTTATTATTTATAATTTCATAAATTTAGACTCGATTTCAACCGCGACAATGACCAATGAATATTGTAGAAACGCATATGCTTCCAATATGTTAATTTAAACCAAATTCATGACCCCATACCAAAACTTTGTAATATCTTTAATGCATCTTAGAAGAGAGTCCAAAATATAGACCAATGTCTTTCCAAAGGACATCTTACCCAGTCACACCACTAGACCAACTACAAACTACCCAACATGTGAGAACATGTTGGCCATTTGGGGTATTGTCATTTTTTGTCTGTTTGTTTAGTCTTCTGGGCTGGTGTAGTTGGCTTGTCAGCGTGATTAGGCTACAAGGGTACAGATTTACAGAAGAGATTTGTATTCTGAAGATATATCCACTTGAACTCTACACAAAGCAACTTGAAAATAGAGTCCTGGAATACTTCAAATCTGAAGTATGCCAGGACTCTGTTCCAATGACACAAACAAAAACTATAATGATAATGAAAAATAATATAAAAAAATAATAATAATGTATTGATATAGCCTGTTTCCCATATACAAGTTCAAATGCACTTTACAATTTTGTTACTGACAGAAAAGGGGAGTTTTGAGATAATGAACTATCCTTGTGTACCTCAAACTTTGAAGTAATGATGGAAGGCTGAGTAGCATTCTGTGGGATGAGACGATTCATGATCTCCTTGAGGATACTAGCATCATGCTGGTCATCACAACGGAAGGAATACATCAATCGTTTTAAGCAAGCTTCCACACCAAGCGCCCAACGAACATCCTTCAGCTTCAAGAATGATCCTGGAAAAAAAAGAAGAAGATTTTTGAACTAAAGCTACTGAGCAAGTTGTTTTTTGCTGACACAAAGAATCATTACGTAATTAATACTCTAAAACTACAATCTATTTTTATATCAAGTTAATGAATTAAAAGTATTGAGCAGTAATATGGAAAGCATCTGTTGGATAGGTCTTCTACATCATGGGGGATGGTTGTTTGACAATTCATCAGATAACATGTACATTAAACATTGGTTATACATCATAAAATGAAATCTAGGTATTAAGTCAAAGTAAGTCATTCTCCAATCCCATATTCCTTTTCTCTCTTAGTAAACTGTATGTTGTAACACAGACAAGCAAATATTTGTTGGACCATTTTTGCACACATCCCCACCTGCCTTTTATGTGGCACCTAAAAAAACACCTCTGCTGGGGGTTCAAACACAGCATGTGCAAATGAGAGTTCTCTGCTAAAGCAATGGTAACAAATTCTTACCCACGGGACCAAGGGGTTTCTGGTGGAACTGATTGTTAGCAGTACACCGGTCAATCTCTGCCAGTAAGTTTGGCATGTAGTCCGCATATAGCTTCAGTCTTTTCTTGCTGCTTCCTTCAAGGTTCTCTAGTCTTCTCTTCCCAGCAGTTACCGCTTGAGTTAGCTCACTATCTTTGGATCTGCAAACACCATCATGACATTTGCCAGAACTGTATTACTATCTCTTGAAACAAATTTAGCAGGATGGTTTGAATTGTTACGTATTGAGTCTATGGCACAGTATTTACCTGTGACATACATGTTCGATGTCTGTATGTTCGAGATACACCTGTACCTTCCTTCAACTCAAAGAGGCACTATGGCTCAGTGGTAGAGCAGTGGTCACGTAACTAGGAGGTCTCGGGTTTGAAATCAATTTGATACGCTAGTGCCCTTTGGTAAAGCATTAATCCTCATTGCCAAGTCCCTCAGAGAGGACACAGCCATTGGTCCCCTGGTTGCTTTCTTTGCAAACCAACCAAATACCAACTAAACCAACCAACCAAATACCAACTAAACCAACCAACCAATGTAGTCTGCTGGCCATTTGAAGTTGGCTGCTTGTTTTATAGAATCTTCATAGAACCATCATGGAAACTGTGGCTAACTTTAGTTTTCCAATACATATATCTGAGGAGGGTATCTGAACCAAAGACATCAAAACTTTCAGAGCTAAATTCCATTTGGATGCATCATAGAGCTCATTCCTATCACGATAACTTGCTTTTGTTAAATGCATTACAAACTTTGGATGGTTTCAAGCTCAATATCAATTTCAATTGTTTTACGGCTCATGAACAAATTTCCACCTACATTTTTACCAGAATTTGAAGGTGCATCATGCATAAAATATGCACTTCCATGAAGATCCTGTATTATGCATGGTATTATTTACCAAGGAGAAATTTATTAAAGAAAGTACTTTTTTTCATTTGCAGATTAAGCATGCAATCTCTTTTACACTGAAAACTTCACCATTTTATTCCTATTTATTGCCATTGATACAAACTATTATATCAATACAAGTCATGTCAAGCATGATTTACAATTTGTTTATCTTAATTTTTCATAAAATATCTTACTGCAGTCCGTAATTCTGCTCTCTAGCAATGTTGACGGCATTTATAGCAAACTGGTCAATCTCCCTGGCAGCATTCTGCTTCTGAGCTTCCAGATCTCTCTTCTCTTCCATCAATGCAGAGACTCGTCTTTCTCTCTCAAGCCTTTCCTCTTCAAACTGTGCCTCGTCCCTGTGGTTGCAACAAGAATTACCAGAAATTCACGATTCACGTCCTGTTATCTTCACACTTTATTATGACAAGTGAATGACCAAATTATGCAGCGCCTGATTATATATCCCTGCTTGGAGTGTAAGTCTTGGTGATAATGTAAATTTCTTTAAAATAATTCAAATGAACTAAAATCTCTCTCTCTCTCTCGAGCCTCTCCCCTTAAAGATACTATGTCCCTTTTGCAGCCAACATCAAATTCTGTAGAACTTTTTAGGAATTATGAATATGTCATGTATGTCCTATCTGTGAAATTTAAACGTTAGCAGATTATGCAAGGAAACCCGTTTACTTTCTAGACTTCCCTGTCAGACACTATTGAGAGACTGACTGACTGACATCTTTTTTCTTTGGTAGTAACATACATAACACGAGCTGTACTACATGAGCATTTGTCTACATCAATAACCCACTACTTGTACTAGCCAAAATTAAACTGATTGAATCTTTGTGCAGCACAAAACATACAACCATTCGGTACCAGGGTCTGAAAATCAGACTATTACTAATGCGATTGCAATCACTTGAGTCGATTCAACAACTAATGGTCAATATTTTCCCACAAAAAGCTATTTTCAAACCCTTCATTATTTTTGAGGAAAGTTTTAAATAAATAATGTGTGTATGCAACTCCTGTTCAAAGGAATGAGACAAATATCACACCTTTATTTTCAGGAAGTGCTTTTAAAAATCTACTGCAATATGGGGTGTAATGCTAATACCATAAAAAAAGTGCGCGGGTGTGTGTGTGTGAGGGGGATAGAAAGAGAGGGAGAAGCAGAGATAGGGGGTTATAAGTACCATATAAGGTATAAAGTGAACAGTAACAAACAAGTTCGTGAGAAAAGAGAGGACAGAATTGGGAAAAACATCTAGACTGAGATTACCTCTCGAGTCTCCCATTAGCTGTAACTCTTGTAGAGTTTGAGGAACTTGGGATGGTAGGTGAATCAGCTTTTATCACAATTGTGGTGTCATTGTCTGAGCTGTGACTGTCATCATCTATAACAATCACCTCCTCAGAAACGATGGGAAACTCCTGAGAATCCTCAATAAGCACCACATCATCTTCAACTTCCTGTTACATAAATTTTGATAGAAAAAGAAAATGTTGAAACATATCAATAAGTCTAACACAAAATATGTATCTACAGATCTGTGTAACAAAAAACATATTGTAGTATATGTAGGGTTAAGTGAGTAATGTTCTTCTTTTCATAAAGAGATTTTTTTAAAGAGATAGCTAGTTTTTAAAAAAAATGACATAAATATACATTTCATGAACACTTTAACAAAGGCAAACAGGAAATTCCTTCTTTCTCCATAGAAGGATGCAGAGTCTAAAGAAGAGTGAGATCATGTAACATTAATGATGAAATTATCAAGATGGAAATAATAGGATTAAGAATGTCTCTGACCTGCTTAACCTGACTGGTCGAAGGCTCGTTGCAATCCACCTCATCTTTCTCAGGTAAGCTCGGTAAAGATGGAGGGAGGTCAACAAATTCTGGCTTTGCAAACTCATGTAGGATGAGTGATATGATGGACAAAGTCTTCCCTAACCCCATATCATCTGCTAGTATACCACCACGCACACTGTCAGGTCGCTTGGCACTCGTGAAGTTTGTTAGTGAGTTGTGGTACAGACCAGATGGTGTAGCTGGCTTATCATTACTCTCTCTGGCTAACATCCAATGTAGGGCTTGCTTCTGATGTGGGTACATTGTACTAACAATGCACTGATAAAATTGAAAAGGAAAAATGACTTGAAACTTAAAAACCTGTATACAAAGACCGCTCAAAGGTGACAAGAAAAGTGGTCTTTACAGACAAATGGTCTTCATATACAGGTTCCTTTAGTACAGGTTTTTGTGCGAAATGATTGTTAAGGGAAACAAAAATGTCATCTTTATATACAGGTGTTCGCTAAATGAGGTTTCACTGTTAATCAATTCACTAAATATACTATGTAAACTTAATTAAGCTAGTAAGTAAGTCGAAGGACAAAGGCAGTAATACAGAATCTCATAAGCAACATAGTACATAACATAATGATTGATTAATTTGTTTGGTTTTCATTCATGAGATTGACAAATTTAAACCTAGATGGGAAGGTCTTTTGAATTGCATTATAATATTAATGTTTATGCAGCTGCCATAAATAGTAAACCCATAAAAATCCCTTTTTTGCCAGTCAAGTACAAATACAGATAAAAGCAAATTCAATCGGTTTTGAAACATCTAATGATAAAACATGAGAAATGTGATTTGCTTTCAACTATTTTCAATGACATTGGCAAAATAAAAGTCCTTCAGTTTCACTTTTCTGTAGAACCAAATCAACTTCAGACACATCTACAAACATAAACCTCAACACTTCTCGATTATAAATCTTTATTAGAAAGAAAAAGAGGAGACGAACATCTTTTTTTTCTCTTAGCTCACCTTGCTTGGTTCTTGCTCAGTTAATTTGAGATTGTCAAAAAGGGTATCCACTTCATTCTTCATCTAAACAATGACAAAGGAAGATTTCATGCATTAACAAATTATAAAACTACCTGTACCAAATGATAACTCATTATGATATAACGTTCCTGTGCGCTTCCAAATTGCTTCGGAATTTATTTCCCCAGATACGAGTGCTCAGCCACTAGTAACACACTAACAGTCCCTTGACCCAGTTAACAATAGGTGATAGGGCTTTTTCAGCTACATGTACTTCCCCCAAAACCTGGAACTCCGTACCCCCGTTCTAAAGAATCACCATACGCTTGCAGCTTTCAATAGGTGTTTGAAAACATGTTTTTTCCAAATTTCTCTCAATATTCCTCTTTGTTTGTAATCAATGTAAGCTTTGTACGAAATATTCTTTTGCTTTATTTGTAAGTATTTTATTTGTATCTTATGAAAAGGTGCTTTATAAATGAAATGCTATTATTATTATATTAATGGTGAAACAGTGAGCATCCCTACATCATAAACACACTCTTACCTCTGTCTCTGACAGCATCACCGACTTGCCCAGGGCATTTCTAGGATTGTAGATGGAGGATTTCTTGCTCTCAACCATGCTCACAGTGTGGCCTCTGCCTTTCAGTATCTGAAGGACTGTCATTTGGTTACATCGAGGTCCATACAGGGAGATATCCACAGGCATACTGTGTACATGTGTGTTCTTATTTCCGCTTGGTACAACACTGAAAATAGCAAATTTTTACTGTAAGTGAGCGATTTCATATATTTTTTTTCTCCCTAATCCACTGAAAACTTTAAGTAATGCAAAATCTTAGTCTAAGGAAATAGATTCCCTTCATTTCCTAAATTTGTGGATACACCTATGAGGCAATGAGGGTGGGAAACAACCATGAAAAGGCGGCTCCAGAATGCCTGCAGTTTTAAACTACAAAAAGAATCGCTCCACGCAGTCATAAATATGCCTCCGCCTGCAACATAATAAGTATTTTTGAATTATCGGATTATAGGTAGTAGTCCTCATTAGCAGACCCTCGCTAATTTTGATGAAGTTTCAAATGTGATCAGGTAATCTTTACAGGGTCATACGTACTCTTACCAATTTTCGCTTCGATAGCATAATTCATTCTCAAGTTATTGCATTCACAAGATATTATAGCAGATTTAAATTGACCCTTAACCGTTTGAGCCCAAAATTCAATCAGTTTGTTATCACGTTCATAAGAATCATTACAGACGGACAGACAACCCGAAAACAGAATGCCTCCGGTACTAACTACGTGTGGCAGAGGCATAACAAATCTATGTGATTAGTATTGTCTATAGAGGATATAGCGACTAGCCTAACATATGATTCTTTATGGTCGATTCATTCAATTCTTAATATCTCAAGGATGAAAATGTTTGTGAACTTACAATCTATTAACCAGTACACCTGTAATAAAAAAATGACATCTGTAGCATATGGCATATGACAAATACACGTAGGTAGTTACTCAAATTGTTTTAAAAACATAAACTGAGATTAAATTCCTATTTCTTAGAAAGAAGAAATCATCCCTAACAAAATAAGTGTCCTATCTTATCATTTGGTGTCCGTTAACCTCACCCTTCAATTCTAGCATAGTTGTTGTCCAAGATGTATGATAATACTTCAGCTAACTCTCTCTTGATGTGTCCAACTTGATCTCCCCAAGCGTTCTCTACCTTCATAGCGTTCTTAAGGTATCTGTTTAGAGGTTCTCGAACAAGTGACACCATCTCATGATCACTGACCTGAGAAATAAAATAACAAATTCAGTCAGAATCAGATTACATTGATTTAAGAATGACATCAGGCATCAGGATTAGTTACAGCCAACCTTACTGTATTCTACATAATTATACTCTTTTGTCATATATAAAATTGGCAATGATTTGTTTGTTATATATTTGTAAAACTGGAACAAAAACAAAAAAAATCAAACAAATAAAGAATCAAATCCAATCAAATATTTGAAATTATGGAAATTTCTTTTCTCGTAAGCTAGTAACGAGGTACTCTATTAACCCTATTTTAACCGGGCTATTTCAGACCAGGTTTTAACCGGGGGGGGGGGGGGGGGGGGGGGGGTCAATTTGACCCTCTCCCTAAGATCTCAGTCGTTTCTCAGCTCATCACCGCGAAAATTAAGGTCTTCTCCGAGTGACCTGGTAATGAGGATTAATGCCTTAACAAAGGGCACTACCGCATCGCCTTGGTTTCGAACCCGGGTCACCGGATTCTGAGACCACTGCTCTACCGACTGAGCTATTGCGCCTCCTCGAATGAACTTGAATACTTGGTATCCAGTCTGCATACATTATTGGTTGCTATGTGGGCAAGCCTCTGTTAGGCTTTAGCTTGTCTAGAACAACCTTTGTTTGAATCAAATTTCAATATGTTAGTAAGCCAGTCTATAACTTGGTATTTTGAAGGTATACTAACCTTGCCAGTATGGTAGTGAAGACCCTCAATACTACCAGGAACCATACCCAGGAAGATATCATCGGTACCAGCCTGAGATGCTGCTATGGGAAGATCCAATTCTAGATGATCTTGATCATCTATCCCATCATCCCATGTTGACTGACTCAAATAATCCTTCGTCAGTGAGAGAGCCTCGGTTAGAGAATAACGGTTGCCATGGCTACACTTCTTCTTCTGCGTCTTTTTCTGATAACTGAAGTCCAATGGTTCTGGTGGATTACAGGACTTTGGTTTGTGACATCCGCTTCTCGGCAAGACTCCTAGAAAAACAAAGAAGTAAACAAAACCTCGTTCATTGCAAACTGAAATGACTCCCAACTCTAGAATTAAAATTGGAAAGTGGAAATTAGCATTAACAAGTGATGGTAACTTTCAAGCTTATTTAAGGCTCAGTCCTACTGTCAAACCTGACTCTTCACCCACTATGACTAATTCTTGGCCATTTGAGTGATGTATTTTTTGTCTTGTTCAACATGTTTGACCCTTTGATCTTTGACCTCATGACCCTTAAAATCTAATCACTTCATTGGCTCTGCAAGATATATACATGTCTTGACTTTGATAGTAATCCGTCTGTCGGTTCTATTGATAATACGTTCACAAGCTATATTTGCATACATAATAATTATGAAAACACCCCCCTAAGTCCGGTGTGTAAAGGCACCTTTCATATAATGAGCCCCATGACCTTTGATCTTTGACCTCATGACCCCTAAAAATCTAATCAGTTCATTAGCTCTGCAAGATACATACACGACCAAAGTTCGGCGGGAATCCATCTATGTTTTCTTGAGATAACGCGATCACAAGCTATTTTTGCATACATAATGAGCACTGTGACCTTTGACCTTGTGAACCCAAAATCTAATCAATTCATTAGCTCTGCAAGATACAGACATGACCGAAGTTTGGCAGGAATTCATGAATTGGTTCTTGAGATAACGCGATCACGAGAACGGGACGTACGGACGGACGGACGGACTGATCGACAACCTGAAAACCTAATGCCTCCGGCTACTTCATAGCAGAGGCATAAAAATCTCTTCATTAGGATTGATAATCATGCATATGGCATATGTCATGAAAATTTCATTTGTCATCGACCATGTCATTCATGAGAAATGAAGCAAACAAAATCCATACAGAAAGAATAGGAAAAAAACAAATAGACTGATCAGCTGTGGAATCTGCACCTGTCCTTGAGGTAGGGATTCCAGATGATACAGTCTCAGAGGCAGCTGCCTCTTTGTGTTGGTCAACTCTGGACATTGAATGTCTCCCACCATTATTGGGCACAGTAGGTAATACCCCTGAAGCACTCTCTGCAACAATGGTTGCATGTGTCCTTGTATTGTTGGCCACCTTGAGCCTTGGGGACGATGGCTGAGGACTCTCCATCTTCACTCTTGTTTTCTGCAGAAACAAGGAAAGGTATGATAAGAAGTTAAAGGAAAAACAATCCTTAATGAATGGTGCGTACACCGTGCCGTATGTTAAACGCAAGGCTCTCTTACTGACGAAGGATCATTCGAGTTAGTCAACATGGAATGATGAGATAGATGATCATAATCTTCTTGGATTGGATATATCCATAGCAACGCCCCAGGCTGGTACATGATTTTTTTCAAATTGAAATTAAATGCAAGATGAATGAATGAATACATTATAAGGAACAATTCCTACCTCATATCCCTGATAGGACTTCTGACTATCAACATACATTTCTTGTGCAAGCTCATCCTGGTCTTCCATCACATCAAGGATATCGATGCTTCCCTCCGGAGTTACCGTGTTAATGTCCTCCAGAGGGCCTACTTTAGCGATGGCCTTTTTGCTGGATTGAGTAGGGCAACTGCTAGAGGCATGGGCCGGTTGGCAAGCTGTTATCTCCTGCGATGGAATGTTATCAACCTAAAATGATAGACACATTCACAATTACAAATTCAACATTTGGAAAAACTTTATGACATTCAATTGATATGCATATCATTTTCAAAGCATGTTCTGTCATGATAAACTAGTCGTACAGTACCATTCCATGTGCTAATTTGTCTCTACCAGTTTTGATAGAATTATAGTGGAAACAAAATTAAAGTCACAAATCTGGTCAAGGGAGGAATGGTAAAAACATTCATTATTTAACAGCCAAAGAAAATATGAATTTTGATGGTAGAGATCATAGGTGCAAAATATGAAATTCTAGCAACCTTTGCAGGACATTTTCAGAAGGTTATTCTTAAATTGGTGCTCCGTACCCCAAATGGAGTGAAGAATTAAGGTGGTTGATAAAGAAGAAAATAAATTGTGGCCTACTCTTTTTACAAAAAAAATTGCCTCACCTCCTCATCTGACAGGAGCAAGATGGAAGAACCAGCAGATGAAACTTCATCATCCCCAAAATCCTCTTCATCGACATCATCCGCCACAGGATCACTGGCTTCAGCTGCCATGTCCCTCTCATTCTCCTTGTGACTGATATCAGTGACATCGCTATCCTCTCCATCACTGCTTCCAGCACCAGACAGACAGCTGTTCTCATGAGATGCATCACGTCTACCGCTCACCTGAGCCTGAGCCTCACCATGGATGCCCAAACCAACATCCTCAAGGCCAGAGGAGTCCTTGTCACTCTCTCCTCCCCAGACTCCATTGTTGGTCTCGACCCTGTCATCTCCTTCGATCTCACTATCGCTGATGATGATATCACTGGTTGGGTTTGTTACCGATGTGACTTGCATTTCTTGGCGACTCAGCTCTAAAGCTTTCTGATAAGGAAGGGGAGATGAACAAAATTAAAATGTATCAATTTTCGTTAAGTATTCCAACATTTTCTTTTCTGGATATTTATGATCTGGTTTAAACATTAGAAAAGAAGATAAAAACCAAAACTGTTTTTTCTATGTTGAGGGGATTCTTGAGTCTTAAAATAAAACAGGGGAGAAGGAAAATTGAGCAAAAAGTCGTTCTAATAAAAGTTGATAAACAGTTTCAATGTTCACTCCACTGAGAAAAAGATTACAAACAAGTTTGTAACAATCATACTCTAGGCCTGTTTATGCAAAATCAGTTGCCTATCAAATATTCTGGCTCAATATTCATGACAAATTCATTGTCATTAAATGAATCCTGAGCAGATAAGAAGAACGAGAACTGTGCCATGTTTTTGCTTTACAGTCTGACTGTATAGGTGAACGAGTGCAAGTATATCTAGCTGGCTGTGTGTGTCCAGTGTGTGACGTCACTATTCGGAGCTCGCTAGCTCGTGTGTGGGGCTTACATTCAGGGGTCTGAGAGGGGTCTTGGAAAATAACATTTTACGCCTTTCCATGATATCTATATGATTTCTCAGCAAGTTATTCATGTTTTTCAAGAGAAAATCTTTCCATCCATATGTAATTTGTTCTAAATATCAGTTGTAGTGGATATTTCTTAGTGTGATTCCTTTAAAGGAAATACAATCAAAGAAGGAGATGTAGGTGTAAAAATGGTGGGTTTGTTGACTAGGTGATTTCTTGGTTAGTACTTTACTGATGTAGGTGGGTCCAGAAATTAAGAAAGCCCCACATATTTCTGTCGATCAATTAGGCTAGAAGGTACAAGTCATACAATTTCACTTGATACTCACTTTGAATTTGGATTTATCATCTATTCTTAACGATGTCTCTAGGTTATAGTGTTTTAAGTGGATGTTTGTGTACACCTAAATATACATGTAGGGTAACAGCTAGTTAACGCCCAAATTTAGATGACCGATCTTTGTTGATTAATTTTTTTGCATTTATAGGCAGCCATATAGTCTACATTTTTATGTTTGTGTTACTCTTGCATTACATGTCACTTGCTAGGTTAAGATATTTTGTATCTCATGATAATTGTATGATTCCTTAATGAATGGTGCAGACACCATTCCGTACATTAAACATAAGTTTTATCTACATAATCCAGAACGGTTGAAATCCATGCTGCTCTTGATTTTTTTAAAGTTGAGATTAAATGCAAGATGGCCCGTAAATGAACAGTGGTATAATATAAGGAACAATTTTTACCTCAAATCCCTGATAGGACTTCTGACTATCAACACCCAGTTCTTGTGCAAGCTCATCCTGGTCTTCCGTCACATCAAAGATATCGATGCTTTCCTCCGGATTTACCGCGTTACGGTCCTCCAGAGGGCCTACTTTAGTGATGGCCTTTTCGCTGGATTGAGTAGAGCAACTGCTAGAGGCATGGGGCGGCTGGCAAGCTGTTATCTCCTGCGATGAAATGTTATCAACCTAAAATGATAGACACATTCACAATTACAAATTCAACATTTGGACAAACTGACTTCATGACATGCAATCAATATGAATATCATTTCCAAAGTGTCTTCTGTCATGATAAAGTACTACTCGTACAGTACCATGCCATGTGCTGATTTGTCTCTACCAGTTTGATAGAATTACAGTGGAAACAAAATTAAAATCACAAATTTGGTATTTATGAGACAAGGAAGGAATGGTAAACACTTTCATTATCTAACAGCCAAAGAAAATATGAATTTTGATAGTAGAGATCATAAGTGCAAAATATGAAATTCTAGCAACCTTTGCAGGACATTTTCAGACGACATTCTTAAATTGATGCTCGTAGCCCTAATGGAGCGAAGCATTAAGGTGGTTTATAAAGCAAAAAAATAACTGTGGCCTCCTCTTTTTACAAAAAAAATTGCCTCACCTCCTCATCTGACTGGAGCAAGATGGAAGAACCAGCAGATGAATCTTCCTCATCCCCATAACCCTCTTCATCGACATCATCCGCCACAGGACCACTAGCATCAGCTGCCACGTCCCTCTCATTCTCCTCGTGACTGATATCATTGACATCGCTATCCTCTCCATCACTGCTTCCAGCACCAGACAGACAGCTGTTCTCATGAGATGCATCGCATCTACCGCTCACCTGAGCCTGAGCCTCACCATGGATGCCCAAACCAACATCCTCAAGGCCAGAGGAGTCCTTGTCACTCTCTCCTCCCCAGACTCCATTGTTGGTCTGGACCCTGTCATCTCCTTCGATCTCACTATCGCTGATGATGATATCACTGGTTGGGTTTGTTACCGATGTCACTTGCATTTCTTGGCGACTCAGCTCTAAAGCTTTCTGATAAGGAAGGGGAGATGAACAAAATTAAAATGAATCAATTTTCGATAAGTATTCCAACATTTTCTTTTCTGGATATTTATGATCTGGTTTAAACATTAGAAAAGAAGATAAAAACAAAACTGTTTTTTCTATGTTGAGGTGATTCTTGAGTCTTGAAATAAAACAGGGGAGAAGGAAAATTGAGCAAAAAGTCGTTTTAATAAAAGTTGATAAACAGTTTCAATGTTCACTCCACTGAGAAAAAAAATTACAAACAAGTTTGTAACAATTATATTCTAGGCCTGTTTATGCAAAATCAGTTGCCTATCAAAAGGTAGAAAGGTGTCTTAATGGCAATGCCATAGATATATCCAATAATTTGTAGACCTCGACTCTGTGGATTGATCTGTTAAATCTGTGTGTAGTCTACAATTTCAAAATTTAGACAACTCCTCCTCTATTTTCCCATGCGTATCATCGTCCACTATCATAGACGCATATACTTGCCTCATCCTCGTCTCTATCCTCATGCCTCTGGTACGTCTTCCTTTTGCTGGGATACCAATAGGAACAGCCCTCTCCATCCTGCTCTGTAGGCTGGTTACTGGTATCGGCAAACGTGAGGGCCACAGGCTTATGTTGAATTCGCTTCTCATCCATGGTGGATACTGCAAGAAATAATAATGTACATATCTGTTTGTTGGTGCATTGTAGAAAGAAAAGAAATAAATCAAAAAAAAATTGCAGTGCAATTATAGGACAATATGAGATCACAGGATCTATGCGATTCACAAATTGGCAATATGGTGACTGTATTGTGATGTTTTCATGGACAACTCTTCCATTTGTCATGTACAAATACATCATCAATTTCTGTTTGTGATGTTTCTCTGGTAGGAAAGGCTATGATACCAGGCAGGACTGAAACACACACTGTACAAGGAAGGCTTATTTCTTCTCAACCTGATATCATTTCACAGGACTATGATGGTGTCTTTGAACCACTAAACCATGATCACTTCTAGCAAGTAACTGGAGCTAGGAGTACATCGGATTCAAGCACCTCTCCCTCGCACATAAGGCGAGTGGGCTCAGTCGGTAAAGCATCTGCCTGTGGAACCATAGATCCCAGGTTCGAATCCCACCCAGGCGGATGACTGAAGCCTGCGTTGTGTGTTAACGCGCCCTCCCCTTGTTCATAGACGCAGGCTATGTTAAGTGAAAAACATGCCGTCCCTCAGATAGGACGTTAAAAAGAGGCCTTGTGTAGAGAAGAGTCACTACCATTTCTACCTACTATTCGTATAAAAGTAGGGGAAACCCCGGTGTAGTGGTCCACCTGCACACACCCCAGCGTAGTACGATAATACTCTGTAAAGAGGTATGTACTCAAAATAGAAGAAGAAGAAGACCTGACGAAGGCTGAATACCAGAAGGCTGAGCAGTTGCTTTCAAGACATAGCAATGTTTTCAGCTCTTCAGATGAAGATATCGGGGAGACAGATTTAGCATACCACAACATCAAATTCACTACTGAGACGTGCACCAATCGGGCACCATATCGGGCATCACCAGTAACAAGACTTGAAATCCAGTGCTCACCAAATCGACAGCATATGGCAGGGCATTGTCAAAGAGAGCCATATAGCCCATGGGCCAGTACAATTGTACAGGTTAAGTACCAGGTTCACTTTAAATATATATAAGAAAACAATATAAAAAGGCATCTCCAAAAATAATAAGTGATAAAAAATGCATTATATAATGCATCATATCATACAAAGCATCAACTTCATAACATGAAAAAGAACCAAATAGAATAAAAGGTGAATGTGAGATAGTATTATAATATTCTGCCTTTAAAGAAATCTAACTATCCCTTTTGGTACTATATATCCATCAATATTAGTGCTGATTATATGTTCATGGGTTTTAATATTATTCTGATTACTCTCGTAATATGATAAAAATCCAAACTAGTAGAGCAGTATTTATACAATAACTTCTTTATAACATAGCACCCCCCCCTTCTTGTCAGCAAACAATGTAATAATGATATACCTCCCTAAACAGTGGCAACAATATATATGTGCACAAAAACTAGGAGTATATACTGATATACCTGTTAGAACGATCCCTCTAGCTTTCTCTCCATTGGCAAACTAAGAACTAGTCTTCATAACCAAATGCATTATTTAGGGTTGTCAGTCAAGATACAGAAATATCTACATGAATATAACCTTAATTATTACTTATATTGAATATTACGTAAATGGAGTGAATATATACCGGTATGCTAGATAGATAGAAAGAAAGAAAAGATATCTCATCAGAAAGAGAATAAATACTCTTCTTATTACTCATTACTCTACAGTACTCTTTTGCTGCATAAAAGTATATGACATGTAACTGTTGGCCTGGTCTAATTATTATACAAAAGTAGAGCCTAAGGTGTGAGAAATTATTTTTTTTCTCTTACCTAAAACAAATTAGGAGCAGTACCATAAAACCACATCTGCTCTCCACAGCTGCAAGATGGAAAAGAGACTGATCACAAACATGGGCCTATAATCCCTAATAAATCACCCCCTTCTTATCAGGAATGCTACCATGTGGTCATTTCAGAGAGGAGACAAGAAAGTGAGAGAGGTGAAAAGAGAGGAATACCGGTTTGTGTGTAAGCAGAGAGAAGGGGAGAGAAACTTGATGGAGCTTGAACACACACTGGGGGTGTGCTCTTATGTAATACATGATAGCAATGTAGTGGCCCACCAAACACAGAAAGGGGTAATTACACAACATAGTGAAATTTCAGCAGGTACTGGTACATGGGCAGCGGAGCGTCTTTCAAAGTTGGGGGGGGGGGGAGCACCCACAAAAAAGGACACTTTCTGGAAAAAATGGGGCGACTAGCTATACAAAGAGAAACCTCAAAGCGAAATTTACCCTTTTTATACACTGGTAGGCCCTTCTACCCATACCAATACTCTTTTCACACTGGTTTTGCTTAACCCCGTACTTTGCTTAGCCCCGTACTATCCTTAACCCCAGACTATTTTGGGGGGCTTTTCGCACACGCTGTTTTTAGTCCCGTACTAGCACCTATTCCGGAATAAGAAAATTCACGGTGTTCTCACTGCAATTCGTTAGCCCCTAATATCGTGAATGTTAAGATTGGACAGTGGGCTCCATACTTCGCATCTAGCCAGCTGCGATATGCTCCATTGCGTAGTACCGGACTATTTTTCGTTTCTGTTCTCATTCATTTGCTTGGCACCGCAATTCGGGGTTAGCCCTGCTATTTTGCAGGGTTAGTTAACCCCGTACTTTAGGTGGGGCTAGCCCACTTTGGTAAATACGAATCTGAACAGAAAGTGGAATAGGCTTAACCCCGGACTATAGGTGGGGCTAAGACCCCCCCCCCTTAACCCTACCTATAGTACGGGGTTAAGCAAAATTTTGCCAGTGTGAAAACAGTAATAGTGATTAGATTATGTTTTCTTTGTATGTTTCAAATATCTCAAATAAAAAAATTAAGATTTGTGAGGTCGCAGTGCGAAAAATTAAATCTTATAAAGAGGAAAAAACGTTCCTAATCATGAAAGTCTAAAAAGATCTTTAAAATTTTTTTTTTTATAATAACATAAAATGCGAGCAAACTTGGAGATTAGAAAAGGCACTAACGGTAGCTTATCTTCAATGACGAGAACAGCCCATTAGAGCTCTTTGTAAGATGATGCTGCCGATCCTAAACAAATGATTGGTTGAGAGCATACACGTGACCAGGCACAGGCAACTCTACATTTTTCTTTGTCACATAATCTATAACAACAACAACATTAACATCCTTTAGCATCAATAATCCCTCAACTGGGTTCAATAAAATAATTGTCATCATTTTGGCCTGTCTACAAACAACAACAATACAAGTATCAAATTACTGGTCTGTTCCCATAAAACTAAGAGGGATCGAAGATCATGATGAGATTAAGAAAATGTATGAATGTCTATAACATAATATAAGGAAACAATAACAGCAAAAAAGATTTTTGTTTTAAATCTTACCATTTTCTTCCGAGGAGTCCGGATCATTTGTTGAATCAGTGTCTTCCGCGGAGTCCGGATCATCTGTTGAATCAGTGTCTTCTGCAGCAGCAGCCATCTTAGCAGATTTCTTGGACCAGGGGTTTCCCATATGTCTTTTTTTCCATCAACTCAAATAAAATGTGAAATTATCTTCAGGAAATTTGCTGGATTTACTGTAGAAAAACAAAAATTAAAAGTGAATATACCAGTGAACATTGTAGACGTGTTGACATTCTCTCACACTGACAAACAGTTTCTTGTAAAGTTCTTTGCTTGACTATCAACCTCTAAGCCGGCCTGACGTTTTGGTTTCCTATTCTTTTCTTTGTTATCCAGTATTGAGAGAGAGAGAGAGAGAGAGAGAGAGATAGGGGAGAGACAGATATACAGACATAGAGGGAGGGGGCACATGCAGAGACAGGGACAGACACATGCACAGACAGAGAGCGAGTGAGTTGAATGGAATTGATCACATGTGGCTCAAAGATCATGTGGATATATTTACATTATAATACAGAACATACAAAAAACAAACAAAATATCACAAAATAGCAATGGTATCAACTCAAGACAAAGCAATAATAGTATAAGATTTAGACATGTATCACAGAGGTGGATAAGCTGTTATCAAAATAATTTAGGCAATGTCATTATATATATATATATGCAAGGATAAATTCAATTGAGCATGTTCAGGAATATTAGGCTTATACTGTAGCTTTAGGGGGTACTTGTAATATGCACGATGTTCAATCTCAATTTAACAAAGTTTAACAAACAAACTTGCAAGTAATAAATTTCGACCTCTCTCGATACTTCAGATTCCATTTGCGTATCTTTACAAACAAAAACAAAACCAGAAAAAGAAAGCAGCCAAAGCACTTTAAAGGTACTATGTCCCTTTTGCAGCCAACCTCAAATTCTGTAGAACTTTGCAGGAATTATGAATATGTCATGTATGTCCTATCTGTGAAATTTAAACGTTAGCAGTGTCCTCATGTTTAAATTATGCAAGGAAACCCGTTTACTTGCTAGACTTAACTGTCAGACACTATTGAGTGACTGACTGGCTTTTTTTCTTCTTTGGTAATAACATACATGAAAAGAGTTGTAAAGGGTACATGAGCATTTGTCTACATCAATAACCCACTTCTTGTGATGGCCAAGGTTAAACTGATTGAATCTTTGCGCAGCATAAAACGTATGACCATCAAGACTATTACTTTTGGGCTCTATAGCCCTAAAGTCGATTTGACAACTAATAGTCATTATTTTCCCACTTGAAGACATTTTCAAGCCCCACCTTTTTTAGGGGAAGTTCTAAATAAGTATTATCTTTCAAATGCAGTTGGAATTAAACTTTTTCATTTTTTTGGCCTGCAAATGGGACATAGTAACTTTAAGCTAAATGTTGCATGCATTGTAAATGTATATTCTTCTTATCCTTCTCTTCATTCCTCCTCCTCCTCCTCCTTCTCCTCCTCCTCCTCCTCCTCCTCCTCCTCTTCTTCTTTTTCCTCTTCATTAAATTTTTTTTTAAATAAAAAAAAAGTGGGGAATTTTTTTAAAATAAGCAATGATCGGAGGTGAATTAAGGGGGCACTTGAAGTGAAAAGGAGGAACTTATCTGAAGTGAAAAGGAGTAACTTAATTGAAAAGGGTTATTTACCAAGAAGCACTAATAAGAACGAAAAGGGACCATTTTCATAGGTGAAAAGGGGCATTTTTGAGAAGGGGAAAGCTCTCTCATTTTTTTTAAATGGGGGTACTTATCATAAGGAAAAGGGGCACTTATTAGAAAGCAAAAGGGGCACATGTTAGAACAAAAGGTGCGCTTATCTGAGTTGAAAAGGGGTAGTCAGTAAAAGGTGAAGGGAAAAAGGCCACCTGTCAAAGTAAAAGTGGCACCTCTCAGATTTGAAAAGGGCAATTATCAGAGATGCAGGGGGCACTTATCAAAAGTGAAAAGGGGCACTTCTCGTACCTGAAATGGGGCAATTACTAGAGATTAATAAAAGCACTTATGAGAATGGAAAATGGACACTCATTGCAAAGGGAAATGAGAAATTGTCAAACGAAAACGGGCACATACAGTGTATATTTTTTTTAAAAAGGGGGCGCTCATCAGAGGTAAACAGGGGATGGGGCACTTTTCAAAGTAAAAGGCCAGGCACTTCTTACAAAGTTAAAAAGGCATTTTTGGGGTACTTGAAAAAGTGGGGGGCACTGTGCCCCCCTCCGCCCCCCCCCCCCCCTTGGCACCTCTGATTTATTCCTTTCCACAACTTCTATCTCTTTATTTATCGCTTCTCATTGTCTTCATATTGTTTTCACAAACAGCTGTGGTTTAACTCTAATTTATAACTCTAATTTAAGAGAAGGAAGTTATATAATTGATTTTACAGCAGGCAAAGAGTTGGCCTACACAATTACATTGATAGTATTTCAGGTCGAGTAGTTAAAGGAAAGCAATAAAAGTATTCATTAATTCTTTTTAAGTTTTTGTTGCAGTTGCAAAGTGAAGGACAAAGTTTAGTTAATATAAAGTCACAATGGGTCGAGTTTCTTGCAGACAGTTTTGATTATGCAGGACTTGGGAACGTCTGGCGAGCTCAAGGAGAAGGATATAGTGCTGCCTGGATTATGAATACTATGAAAACCAGGCTTTCTGACATGTCTATTCAGGAATGGAGCGCAGCTACCTGGTCAAATCGTATTTGCACGAACTATAGGATGTTTAAGAATGAGTTGGTTTATGAAAAATACCTGCAGATATTATGTCAGAAGGAAGCAATAACTTTAAGTAAATTTAGATGCAGAACACATAGATTACCAGTTAATAAAGGTAGATTTGATGCAAATGTAGTAGATGATTTGCAATGCCCACTCTGTACACCAACAGATATTGGTGATGAATTTCATTATATTTTTGTATGTCCATTCTTTCAAAATGAAAGAAAAATGTATATACCAAATAACTTGTGTGGTAGTAGCTTAAGACCAAGTGCGTTGCACATGGATAAGGTTTTTAATACAGCTCACGCTTGCCAGCTAAAGAAATTAGCAAAATTTGTTAGAATCATTATGTCATATTTTTCAAAAGATTCAAGGGTAGATGGTACTACTGCAAATGATAGCTCACAAATAAGCAATGTTGTTAGGCACACTCGTAGCGGTAGGAGGGTGAATTGCCCAGTTCGCCTTGATTTGTAAATATGTTTATTTGTTCATATTATCACGTGTTTATCATTGTTCATATTATCACATGTTTATTATTGTTCATATTATCAAATGTTTATCATTGTTCATATTATCACATGTTTGTCTTTGTTTATACTATCTTATTATGTTTATCAATTTTCATGTTATCACATGTTTATCATTGTTATACTATTGTTATATTGATACTATGTTGTAAATATGTTTGTACTCTCATACCCCGAGAGGGGGTCGATAGAGTCAATAAAATCTTACAATCTTACAAGTTGTTGTTGTTGAGTCAATAGACAAAGTTCAATGACGCCATGTCACAGAGAATATTACAGGTAAAAAGAATACCATGCACTTGCAGTTGAAAATGTAGAAAATATATAAAATAAAGAAAGGTAACTTGCAGGTAGTAATCATGGTAAGCTTTCATCACAATTTATCATCTCTCAATCTCCTGGAATATAGTCCACTTGAGAGCATGTCGGTCAAATGCAAGTTTTTAGTTGCTTGGCATTAATTGTCAGAGAGAGAAAAAGAGAGAGAGAGTTTACCTATAGATCCGAAATTTTGGATGAGGGTGTCACTCCCGACATCCGATTTCCCTCTTGCGACGCTCTAGCGCGTTAGCGGTCAGTTAACCACCGTATTTTTGCCGAGTGGAGTACTAGTACCAAGGTATTTCAAAATCTGTGCACGTGCACGGCCACGGCACATTATATTCAGGTGATCATGCCTGATGCATGGTAACGTAAATGTTCGTGTCAGTCAGCTCAACCCAAAGAGGAGCTCGACATTCGTTGTTTTTTATAAGACGTAATGCCTATCAACACCATAACTGCATAAAAGTTGGATCAAATCACGATATTAACAATGCATTTTTACAACATTATATATCGCTTACCAGGCGCAGGCCATGCCATGCTCAGATGCTTGCTTACTTGCTCAGTTCTGAATTCTCAAACATCCAGAGATTGGAACCAGACCTGCGTCGATATCGCGTCGCGTCGTGAGAAATATATTATGATTAGAAATGTGATCCTTATATTATTTGCTTCCAAAGCAATCTCAGTGGCAAAAAATCACCCAAGTTTGCTCAGTGCAACCTGCTGTGCGAAATAAACGCCTTCAAAGTTTAATTGTCCATTCATGAGGCATGATGTCACTGTAGAGCGAGGAGTGATATTGACTTAAGCAAACGGTAATGACGTCATTATGAAGGGGAATCCCCGGTCCTCCCGTATAACAGCAATACAATCTAAGGCATTTCTGAATGTGTAAACTGAATATTTATGTGAATATTTCTTAGCTTTTTCCTGCTTTTTTTTTTGGTAACGAAAAAAGGGGTTGGGACGTGCGCCCCCATGCACCCCTGCATGGAGATGACTGATAGTTGAACAAAACGATTTCCAAGAGGAATATGGGTTTGGGGTAACCTAGCTATAGCCAGGCCCCCCCACTCAGAGGTCGGAATGACCGCATGCGTGTTGCCAAAATATCCGGTAAAGGGGTACTTTTCGTGCGAAAAAGTCCGGCGCGAGAATTGTAAAAAAAGGGGTGTATTTGACTTTTCACCCGGAGATTTCTTTAAAAAGGGGGTGTTTTTTCTTTTTTTCTCTCATCTCTTTGGACTCCTGAGAAATTATTCTGAATTTAGGGGGGTACTTAGAGCATTTTTCCTGATTTAGGGGGGTCTCCAAGGCAGGAAAAGCCCGCGAAAGGGGGGTTCGAAAATGTTGGCAGTCTTCAGATAGGGGGTGCTTTCAAAAAGAGGGAACAAGCATATGCGTACCCTAGCTAAATAACACTGAGGGGGGGGGGGGGCCGGGCTTGCTAGTCAAAATTAAGGACCGCCATAACTTGCATGCAAATTCTTACACATGAAGAACAGCCTATAAAACGCAGAGGGTCGCTATATTCATAAATTATTTCGAGGGTCATTATACTGATAATGTCCGCTATTCATAATATGAAATTGGGGTTGCTATTCATAAAAATGAAGAAGGGGTGCTATTCATAATTTATATTGGGCGTCACTATACAAGGTAAATTACTTAAAATACTTTCGCGCTGTAAAGGCAGCTAGCCGTGCTTAAAGCACTGGTAAGAATAATGTAGCACCGGGGGAGAGGAGGGGGGGGGGGTGTTTCACAAACATCCTAAGTTGAACTTAAAAATTATGGAAAGCCGTTAACATCCTTGAAAATATTTTGTATAAGTTATTTTAGAAGGCATAAAATGTTGATTCAAATCATTCATATTTTCTATTATCATGGACGATTTCATGTTCTTGATTTGGAATTTATGAAAAGTCTAAAATACTTCAATGTTTGCTTTTGAAAATATCATTATAAGGCTACAAATGGCTCTCCATAACAATCAAGTCCAACTTAAAGTTAAGTGTGACTTGAAATCTTTGTGAAACACCCCTCTGGAGTGGCAATGTGCCAGACATGCTCGCTATACAACACTGGAAACGGCTACAGTTGCAACCGATCAGTTTTTGTAACCAATTCAAACAAATGTGAATATAAATCATGAATATCATTACCTCAAAATTTATATTTGATATTTTAATACATTTTTTAAATTCAAATTCAAAATATGTGACTGTGGTGAAGTTGTTTTCCAATGTGATTTGCAGTTATGTGTATTTTTGTATTCATGTATTTATTTGAAAATAAATCACCTTGCCAAATCAAAATAACATCGTTTTGTATATTTATTTATTCATTTTTATTTATTTTTTGCTATTTTTAATCCATAATAGGAGGCATGGTTGAATTGTGATGGATCATTAAGTTGTACGATCAGAATTAATCTCAAACTAACGCAGTAAATCTGCACTATGAAATTGCACTTTGAGGGGTAAAAACAATTCTGAATGTATTCATTAATTGTTCAACATAGAAAACTATCTTATGTATTCTTAGTTCATAATGTAATTGCAACAATGCAGCAACCTGTAGATAAGATTGGACTAGAACAAATGACAGCAAGAAGATGGTTCTTTTCTGTATGTATGTATTAATTTAATACCATAGACATGAAAACAATTGCTTTTAACAACAAATAAACTGAGAATGCAAAAACATAATGACCCAACCTAAATACAGGTAATAAGACGGGAGTATCGTTCTTGAATTACTTTTTTTTTCTCATTCGATTGAAACATCTAGAAAAGCAAGACAAAAAAAAAATTGTGTTTTCTCGACTTTGAAACTGCAAATGATGAGCTTATAATATAACTAAAGTTTGGAATCGGGATATTGATAGTTTTCAAAAAATCACTATGAAATCAATCTTATTGTGGAAGAATCTATGATGAATTCACAGTTAACAACTTAATCATCCATTCCATAACCTTCTAAATTTTTGTAATTTTTTAAGTACTGTAAGTGAAAAAAATGATTTCCCCCCAATTTGTGTTTCTTGAGAATTTAACATATTAAAGCTTACAACTAACAGTATTCAACAAAGGCCCTAAATCAACCAGTCAATCTTTCATTATTGAGTTAATCAAAACACAACAGACATCAAGGGGTATGAATAATTTAGTAGTTAATTGTATGTTGTCGAAGTCTAGTGGAATAAATTGTGGACTGCAAATACCCCAAAATATAAAAAATTCTGTGGATGTTCGTAATCCAATAATTCCTAAAAGCAACAACTAATGTTCAGATTGTGGTATAAAACTGTACAATACAATGGATATTCATTGTGAAACAACTGAATAGTATGATATTATTATTTCCAAAAAAAGTTGATGTCTTCATCAAATATAAAAACAAATGTATGCACAATGCAGTCGACCATTCAATAAAAAAAGTTCTGTATAATGAACCAAAACATGTAGCTGCAAATGAACCTTAAGTATGGGTTTTAATACTGCATCAATAAAACCTTATACAATATAACTGGTATACAAGCAACAACAGGTATCCAAATACATGGTAAAAAGTTAGGTCTGTACAATACGCTAGATAGTCACTGTAAAACAACAGAATGGCAAGAAATAAAATATCAGATATCAGCAAACTACGCTGTTTTAAGGCAGCACAACATATACCGGTAGCTACAATACAATGGTTAGGGTTCAACTTATCGGCTGCTTAGGATAAAATAAGATCCCATAAAACAAATCTTTAGTAAAGGGGTTTAATACTGCATCAATAAAACCAGTATACATCTAAACAATATTGGTTGAATAACCAGAAAAGTCTTGTTTGAGTTCACAAAAAAGAACTACCGGCACTTGTTTATGTTTCGAACCTACACAGTTCTTGCATCAGAACTAGAAATCATCTACAGAGATGTTTCATCTGTACATACATACGGAGTAGCAATTACTTTGCTCTGTGTATAGATGCAAACAAGAGAAGTACTGGAAATGTTTCTTGATAAATACGTCCTTAGAAAAAAAATGTCCTTAAAAAAAAAATATCTACTTTGGCACAGCCATAGATTTTACCTAAGCTACATGTTAATGTATGTACAAAGAGAACACAAAGTCTATTTAGAATACTTGGATCAGTGATGGAAGACTCACATCATTTAAGAAAATCTTTGGTAGGCAAGTTAAATGCCATAAGTTGCACTCACTCTAGACATAGCGCATTGAGAGAGAAAGTTGTGACACACGCATCTACGCACAGGCGAGATGGGTCGTAGAGCTCTGGATAGTTTCCTCCCATGTACAATCTCTATGGGAGGGAACTATTTTGGAGCTTCATGAAATGGCTAACCAATCAGAAGCCACTACCAGTGACGCAACTTTCTCTCTCAGGTAGCTATGACTGTAAAGGTTTTGCCCTCTCAAATGAAGTATCGAATGGCACTACAGCTTTAGACATGGCAGTAAAATTGGTCCTCCAACCAATACATACATTTTTCCCACACAGTATTACATGTAATTACAACAAGGCAACGGTTTGTATCAGGTACCAACAAAGTCAACAACAAAAAAAAATTCAGGTACAGAAAATCAGCTGCCATATAACCATGAATGGAAGGAATTTGTAGATGAGTGACTGTTTTTGTACATATTAAATCAGGAATCAGTTGATGAGCTTATCTTTGAAAGCCTATCAAGGTTTTCTTGAAGAACATTGTGGGTGTCACCTCTAATATGATGTCCTGGGTTCCCTGATTGGGGTAGCAAGTCTTAAACAAATAGCCATTTTCAGTCCATAAACATTTATCAACACTACGGTACTCATGGGCAGGATTTGTCAGCCACAGTACTGTCCCTCTTTCATACCTGCTCTAGCAATGTACTGTTCTATTCCTCATATTGCTGTCAAAGTTCTCGTCTTTTGACCCTTCTCTTAAAATCTACATGTCATTCTACCCCATGACCATCATAATTCCTCTCTCATCCACTGTTTTCTCACACTACCAGCACAATTCCTCCCGTTCATCCTTTTTCTTGCGGGGATCTACGGTTTGTCCTTGTTCATTCCCATGAGTATCTTGACATCCCTGACTCTGTTCATCCTCCTCTCTTCCGGTGTTTGGTTCTTGCCGCCAAACACATTCTTCATGAGCTGTCTTTTGGTTTCCTGTAGTTCCAGCATGGCTTCCTCTACGCTGTCACGCACCAAGAACTGCCACATGGACAAACAAAAGATCATTCCCATCATCTTAATATTAGTATTAAAGCCCCACTGCACTACTTATAGCTACTCGCGCCCTCTATACAGCCAACAATGCCTAAGCGGTACCCGTTGAGCCCCCATGATGCCCTTTTTCTTATGTTAATTGAGAGCTGATTTGATGAGATAACCACCTGTCAGTGAGGTCTGATCCCTCCATGCCAAGCTAGTGCAGAGGGGCTTTAAAACAAAATCTGCATTCATGTTGCAAATTTCACCCTGCATTTACAATCAAATGTTATTATTGTTCCTATTAGTGACATAGATAGAAGGCCATGTCCCTCCACACCCCTCAAAAAAACCAATGATCAAATCAATGATCTACTAATCTTGTGTATGGTCGTACATGTATCTATATCTTATAATAAACATGATATTGCAAAGTCACAATATATTTATAGTATAAAGATAAACAGCAATGTAAATGAACAAAGGTAAGGAATTACAAGGTCAAACAACAAGACTTGAACTTTATATATATATATACATGTTTATTTTTATCTATTTTTTTTATCGGGGTGAGGGGATGTTATGTGTAATTTTACATAGGTTTGTTATTTTTCAGTAGGTCTATTAGTTTTAGGTACATTTCGCTTATTCCAGATATTATTGTTGCATTCATGTCAGTGTCGTCATTGGACATCATTAGTTTAATTTTCTAATCTTCGTTTAGGTTTTGAAAGTCTGGTAGTATATTGTTAAGTTCAGAGTATATTTCAAATCTGGGATCTTTTAAGTGTGCACATTTTGTTAGGAAGTGTATTTCATTTTCTATGTCAGATTTACTAATATTAAATCAAATGACAAAGGAAAATTCAATGATAAGTCAAATAAGATTCAATTATTTCAGGGAACTTTTGTCAATCTGAACTACCTGTAAACTTTGTGAATCTTTCAAACACATTAAAGATTCTGGTTACGCAGTATTAACCCTGAGAAAGCTTACCTTTGTAATGGTGACATCTTTGGTCTGACCTAGACGATGACATCGGTCAAAGCACTGCTCTTCACATGCGGGGTTCCACGCCTTAATACAATACAGACAAAGATGTCTTATCAATATTCAGGACAGTCGGCCTAATACTCTCTATAATTCAAGCTACACACCGTCGACTTCTAATTTACAACAGTCTTCATGAGATAGTTTGGACTTGAATTATAAAGATAAATTAATGGATTAGGCTCCATGTTATGGTACATGTGCTTCCATATATCTGTTCTGATTTAGTGTGATTGTCTATTCAGAGACAGTAGTATACAGTAATGTTTAAATGACTTCCTGCATTGAAACTAACAAGAATGAACTTAAGTTGGTATTAGCTAAAATTGGAAATGGAGATTAATTGATCAAACTTGAATAAAAAATTACACAGATTTGGAAAAATTTAATTGGAATTAATACAGAAGATCACTAATTAAACTAATTGGAAAGATACTGAATCAAGCCTAAAAGCAAGCTGAAGTTATGACCTTCTTCAACCTTCAAAGATAGTACTTACAGGGTCTAGTAGATATAGCCTAGAAGCTGCAGTCAGGTTCAGTCCGACTCCTCCAGCCTTGAGAGATAGCAAGAAGATTTGAGGGGAATCTGGATCATTGCTGCTAAACTCTCTTATTGCTGCCGTACGGGCAATCCTCGACATTGAACCGTCAAGACGGCAGAACTTGAAACCTTTCTCACTGTCGAAAATAACAGAAGGAATTAAAAGGAAGATACTGAAAGTAGTTCAAAAAACAGACATGAAATATAGGCAGGTATTATTTGAAGTCTTTGGGATGAAAATAGATACAAATCAAGTCAGAAAATAATTCACTCTTGAAATTAAATGTAAATAAGGACATATTTAATGTGATCCCTATTCCTGCTTCTTTTGGTACTATATTTACTCAATGATATTTCATGGATGGCTGCACAGAAGTCAATCAAGTTAACCTGAATACTATCTTGTATGGACCGTAACAAATTAACTTTCCTTCTATACACATGACACTTGAAACGATGCATTCAATGTTTAAAGTAGCTGTGCAAAGGTGAAACTTTGATTGGACAATTTTGTCAAAATTCAATGCTTGGAAAAATTAGAAGTAGCGACTATTATCAATTATAAAACGCTCAAATACAGCCCGGGCATAGCACCCGAAGAGCTCTCCAAACACTGCTGTGATGTGTGACATCACAGGTTGATCTTTGGATATCATTATCCCGGCTTTAGCTCAGGCGACCGTGGCGCTCAGTGAACACAACAAATAAATCCTCCCAGGAACCCACATACTACACCTGGGTCTAGTGTGGCAAATACAGAATAAGGCCTTGCCAAACAAATCTTACATGGGAAATTTTAAAAGTGTAATTGTTTTCAAAAGTAAACTTACGTGAGAGGTTTCTTCAGCAAGTCAAGAAATGAGGTGAACTGAGAAACAACAATACTCTTGGTCGTCTTGTCTGCTGCCCTCTCAGTCAGCAAGCACTCCATAAGAGCATCAACCTATTTCAGATGGACACCAGTGGAATAAAAGACAGTTACTTTAATGTACCTTGGTTAGCATATAAGTGCAAATTTTGAGGTTGTAGTTAGTGTTCCTTAGAAATCTAGTTATGTAATGTAGATTTTTCTAAATTCACAACATGGGTATGTTAAAAATATTTTTTGATTCTTAACATATGGTAATATGTGAGTTATCTTGTTCCATAAATCATTTATTGTTGAATTAATATCAGCATCTTTTATCCCGCAGGAAAAAAAAGGCAGACCCCTATTCTGTATCGTCATCATCAGTGTATGATACAGAATGCCCCTCTGTTTGTACTGTTTGACCCAAACCCACAAAGGATGTTGAAATTAACCGAAGACATTACAAATGTGTTATGTGTCTCCATTCTCAGTATCCGATCTATCTATGGGAGAACCAATAGGTTAAACTACCAGTGTCTGATCTATTTTCTCTCTATCACTGGAATGATACTACTGAGCCCCTTCTGTATACTCATCAGCAGTACCTGCTAGATTGTATCTTTCCTACTTGGCTTACCTTAGCACTAGAATGCCACTCTCTTTCAGTGTCTTCATTCTCAGTATCTGATCTATCCTTCGGAACATGGACCAGTGAATCTCTGCTTACTGCTTGTCGGCACAGAGGGCAGCAAGCACGCTCCTGTAATAGAGATTAAATGCAAGGAGGTAGTAGGTCAGGAACCTCAAAAAAGATCTGGAACTAACGCTTATGAAAGATCATTAAATGATTGAATGTAACATACAAAATTATGTAGTCGTATTATCATTATGTTAAACAAATATTCATCCCACAAATTGAAAAATTCAATAATGAAAAACCAGACATCGTAAGTAAGAAAGTAAAATTATGATGATATGGAAGTTATTTGCCAGAGATGCAGTTAAAGGTTTGCAAAGAAGCTCAGGAGGAACATGTATTCAGCATGCATGTTCCTCCTAAATATCTGTGACTCCAATGCAATTAATAAAAGATTGCATCCCTTAAAGGGAGCGGCCCTGATAAGGCACTCTGACATGCGAGAAATGACTTCATACCAGATACCCAATTAAATCACCTGGGTGGAGAGTGGCAAATAAATAAAAACTGTTAATAAGATAGGGTCAGGTCAAGAACATTGATTCATAGCGACACATCCAGCCTGACAGCCTTATGCAGGGGTGAAAGTGAGCACTACAAAATCCCAAAAAAATCAGGTAAAAAAAAAAAAAATTAAATAAAAATCCACAAAAAAAAATCAGGAAACCGATTTAAATTGGGTAATTATCAGGCCTGCTTATGTCTGATACAACTTTGAAAAGGAGAATAAACAAATGATAATTACTATTTTTTAAATTAAATACCTTCTCCGCGTTGATGACCTCTCCAATACATCTCTGACAAAAGACATGGGCACATCTTGTGATCACAGGATCTTCTATTGAATCCAGGCAGATGCAACACTCCTACACAAAACATAAAATAATATTCCCTTCAAGTAGATTAAAAGTTTTTTTTTGTTTTTTTAAGTGCTCATATCATAATGATTATAAATGAGTTGAAAAAGTAATTAATCATCATTTACTTAAATAAACTTCTTAGAATAATATGATTTGATTCTTGTACTAAAAAGATATTTTCCATAAATATTCATGACATTTTATGAAATATTTCTCACTCTAAAATATGTCAGTGGTGATTTTACCAAGAACTCATGAGTTACAATGACTTTAATGGAAAATTTGTTGTAAAATATAGAAGCAAAAGGTTTACACTCATTGTGCATTGATGACAAAAAATTGTACGTTCCACAAAAAATGACCATAACTTTGCAATTTTAAAATATGTCCTTGTGAAATTCACTTAGAGATACTACTGAAAAATTATCTACAACGTATTATTCAGGATGCTTAAGTGTATTTAAAGATATTATCCATTAAAATCTTGTTGCATTTTTTTTAGACACCCAATATATTATATTCTAATGTTAAATTATATTCTGTATGATAAAAACTAATAGTCCTGGGGGGTGTTTCACAAAGCCTTTTTTTCAATGACAAATGAAAAAAAAAAAATCGGTGACAAATCTGCTGATAACCAATCAGAAGCAAGGATTTCAGTAGCTCATAACAAAAAATGTCATTTGTCACTGATGACAAGTTTTGTGACCCCCCCCCCCCCCCAGATTTCCTGCTTTGTTTGGTGAATTATAATTACCTCATCTGCTCCTTGACTGAGGAATGATACCAAGGTTGCTACCAACTGAGCTTTTTCTTCATCTGTCCTTTCATTGCCATCTGTCAATCAAATCATATCAAATATCAGCACTTTAAAGAGAAGGTCGAGTTATGGGAAGAGGTGAAAAATAGTTTGTGAGCGTATTGTTACTATGTAAGTGTGGAAGTACATCATATAAAAAATGTTCCCTGAAATGCATGGCTCTTCAAATGCCTTAATATTCTAAATATGGCATGTAACAGCATCAAAAACGGGACAGATTTTTATGCCACATGTTCGTGTAGTCCCATATACATTTTACTTTGTACAGTGCTTGTAACTTTACCAAGACTGGACCAAATTTCTTATCATGTTGATGATTCCAGAACCTTGCAGTACACACCAATACTTACATGTATATATTCTAGATGATCAACCTTTTCTGATGGATTCCACACCGTTTCTTTCACAATGCAATCGCATGACCAGAACTCAACTTTAGCTTTAAAGATACACTCTATAAGATTTCCATTCGTAATGCAGACTGCTTCAGTTTGCTTGCACTGGACTTGGGGAGCTACCAACCAATTTATGTGTGTACAAATATCACATGGAACAAAACTTGAAGCCCACTTTGAAATTACTTGGAATTGCTGTAAAATCGTAGAGCTTTCACTTTTAATCATAGTTCAGGTGTATATATTACGCAAGACTTGTCCAAGAAAGTGCAGTCCACTCTTGACGGCAACAGATTAATCTATTAAAGATGCACACGACAGGGCTCTCATGGGGAATCCAACATTGTTTGAGTGTTTACCCAATTACAGGTGTTGCCAATCACCAGGATTAGCCTTCATTTTTATGACCAGCAGGCCTTATGTAATGCCTTGCATTCCCCCACGTGGATAAGTCATTTTATCTCACTTTTTCCCTCACCCAAAGACTCTCTGAGAGACTAGTGATAGCCTGGAGTAGAGGCATTTGTTAGGTACTATTTATAACAATTCAATAAAGATCCTGCACAGAAAAAAAAAAGTCTTACATGTAAATCTTCCGTAACATCTTGTAAAAGATGAAACGATTTATTTAAAATTAAAGAAATCTAAATATCATATTCAATACAAAAAATATAAGCTACCTATGAAGTGATACATACCAATAGCTTGACATAGGTTAGCAGCGGCCTTAGCACATAATGCTGGATGACAACACAGCTGTCTCAGTCTCATAAGGATGGCTAGAATATCACCATAGTGATTTAGAACACTGCCTTGCTGAAAATATCTGAAGGAGGGGTAGAAAGATTTTAGTATCTTTCAGTAAAATGTGATAAATGAAATGCCTGTGAACTGCAGGATTACACGAAGAAGGGCAACCCGACCCTTGAAATAAGTTGATTTGTATTCAAGCAGAAGAATAACAGAAACAGAATGATAAAAGTTTGAAATGAATCAGACCAATAGGAAGTTATGAATGTTTGAAATAGGAGACCACCAAGTCTATGTGAATCGGTATCGAAATTGGAAGTTTGGCGTTTAACATCATAAAAATTGGGACAGATTTTTTTATGCCACATATTTGCGTAGTCCCATATACATCTTTCTGTGTACAATGCTTGTAATTTTACCAAGACTGGGCCAAATTTTGTATCACTTTGATAATTCCAGAACTTTGCAGTATACACTAATACTTATATACTAGAGGATCAAACTTTTCTGATCAATTCCACAACTTTTCTTTCACAATGCAATCACATGACCAAAACTCAACTTTATAATAACTTAAATAATAACTCACTTGCTAACAGCAAGTCTGCCATCTTTCTCCATGGTCTTATAGACCTTCTTCTCATCCTCTGAGAAGTCTACATATTGAAGTACAACGTTACGGGCAGGTAGATCCACCAAGGGTTTACCATTCACCTTCTGGGACTTCATACGACGCAGAGCAAGGGTGTCCATCAACTTACGAACTCGACTAGTCATTACAAGAAGAGGAGGAGATGATTCAATAAAGGGAATTATATACCTCACTTTACAAATCTAGCCATCCGATTAGCCTTTTGAAAAGTGCCCTCATACCCGCCTACCGGTCAATAGTCTTTAAAAAAAATACCCTCATGCTGTGGTCCCCATTGGTTCAAGTGTTAAGAATGTCTTTGTGCCAGCGCAGACACCATATAGTGCTTTTTGTCTGCGATTCCCAAATGAATGAAACTTTCAGTCATTTTTCCTGCGAAGATTAACAGACAGTGTCTCAGATTTTCTGTAATGCTTTAACCAATCTTTACTCAATAAAAGGATAAGGTAAGAATTCTTGGTATATTTTTGTTTCAATTCGGCTGCATTAATATTCAAGGTCTGGCTGTTGTACAGGCTCAAGGGAACGTGCACATCCTGCCATGACCCAAGGCGCGCCTAGCAGTCGATATCTCTATAATAATCAATAGGCAATGATAACGCAACCATCAACTTCATTATCTGTAAGTAATTTGAACATGTACTATTTACATTGCATCAACAGTTAATTTGTTAATGACCAGTAAACGTTTTCTTGGATGCAACATTAAAAAGGTTCTAGGAAATGAAGAAAAACATATTCTTCGAACCATAGGGAAAGTATTCAAAGTTTGTTTACAATATTTATAAATTGTGAGAGTTTATTCAATCCTTACTCTGATTGTATTAAATAAACAAGTATTTTGATTTGATGTTGGGCGAAACTAGAAAAAACATCTCATTTATTGTTGACTAGTAGTCTCAAATGAATAATTATTATTTGTCAGTTGAGAAAAAGCACTTAGAAAAACACAAAAAGGACATAAATTGATGGTTAGATGTCTCTTTATCAAGATAATTTGCCAAAATTAGTTTAAGAACAAAGACATACTGTCTGTTTGGAGCCACAAGGGCATTACCTCCTACAGTTTAATACAGAGTTAATGCCCTTCTCGCTCTAAACAGACGATAATTGGTTAGACAGGACAGGATATATGACGACAATACTCTATTAAATTGAATGATATATCAAGTATATAGCCCCATTATACCTCATTATCGGGGGGCACGTGCCCCCTAAACATCAAACTCTGGCTACGGCCCTGCATACAAGCCCAGGTGTAGACTACTATACAATACTCACTCTATACCTGCAGAGTCATTGTTAGCAATGGGTCTGGTTATGATCCTCTGCCACCAAGTATGGGTTGATTTGAATGGTTCCACACCAAGGAATGCTACCAGAGACCACAGGTCTTTAATACTGTTCTGGATCGGAGTACCTATAGAGATGTGATAGCGCACCACACAAACAACAAAAAATATCACAAGTTAATGTTAGAGGCATGTTGGTTATGAGTTGCTATTTGAATATTATTCATTTCCCTTAAACCTTCACATTCAAATACAAATATTTTTGTTACTAAGTGACGATTCATCAACATTTGGACATAAAGCTCATACTGAGCTTAATCAAAATTTACTCAATAAATTCTGCACCATTTACAATTCTTTATGAGGGCGCTGATTGGCAACAACCAGCTCACCATTTTATGGCTCTGTATTTTTTGCTTCAAATTGAGGTATTTTATTGCTTATTGTTAATTTTTTTTTTCCAACATGTGCCTTGTCAGTATGTTTGTTAGAATGATTATTATTTTGTCATCACCAAAATGTATCCATGCTTGTTTCCCATTTCTGTTTTTTGTAGAGTATGTCTGAGCCTTTAGTTTTCATGTTAGCAAAACAAATATCCTTGGTGAATATACATTGACAAATATATAATGCATTTAGTTTGAGTGACACATGCATTTGTGATATAAAATTTGCTAACACCATTAACGAAACATTCCAAAGATGATCGTGTAGCTTTAAGAACAATAAAGCCCGTTTTGGAAATTATCTTTTTCAAGTGATAATATTCAAACTAAGAAATAAAGAAATGTGAATCCCAACAGACCCTTCACTTCTAAATTTCCCAACAAAGCTAATTCTTTTACCCCTTGTTTGACGTACCTGTTAAAGCCCATTTGCATTGTGCTTTGAGAGCATGAGCTGCTTGTGTTTGTAGGGTACCATGGTTACGGATTGTATGACCTTCATCCAGCACGATACGACGCCATTCAATCGTCTGAAGGGTAGCCTTCTCCTGATGAATGCATAATCAAATATTTCCTCATTAGCATATTAAAGGAAAGACCAGTTTGGGAAATGCCCCCCTCTCAAAAAATGAAATGGAAGCTCTTATTACCAATCATGTGAAAGAATATGTATTGACTAATATGTGATGATATAAATTTTGCTGAGAAACCGCCGACTAATTGATATATTTGGTAAATTATTAAACCTATAGTATTTGGACCGGATAGATATTGTGCACGTGTTGCGTAGTCCCATATACATATTTCTGTGTACAGTGCTTGTAACTTTACCAAGACTGGGCCAAATTTCTTATCATTTTGATGATTCCAGAACCTTGCAGTACACACCAATACTTGTCTAATTGATTCCACAACATTTCTTTCACAATGCAATTGCATGACCATAACTGGTCTATATCTTTAAAGACAAGTAGGTCTTCTTGGTGAGATTCCTTTATCATTATATCATTCATAATTATCATAAAATCATTTTAATTACAAATTTTCATTTAAGTATTTCTGTAAGGTTATCTCTGAGTTTTCATGGTATCTATCCTTTTCTAATTAACGTTATCACTGTGCTTAAAAACCCTATCTGATGAACATATAACTTTGTGTCAATGGAAAGGTGAATGAATGTTGAATACAAATACAAAGGAATAAAGAATATTTTCCCTTTCAATACTGCACAAAAGCAAATTAAAACCTCATTTTTGCACCCCTCCGTATTACAGGTCAACAAGGGTCAAATTTGCCAGCTTCGGTATTCACTTAAAGCTTTCAGCTAAGTATTTTACCCTAACATTAGGACAGCTCCCTAGCAGACTTAAGCGAATCATTTTGGAGACCTTAATTGGCAGGTGTGTGGTTTTCATACGCCGTAATGATAATTATCCAACGCAAATTAAATACAATGCGTTAATTGCGCATTATTACAATGCTTTTAAAGACCGTCAACACTACTGGGCCAGAAGGGGTTAGACCACACAGCAAGGTCACTGACAGGTGGCTATCTCATTAACTCAGCTCTCAACTAACATAAGAAAAAGAGGATCATGGGGGACCAACAGGCACCGATTGGGGAAGTTTTCTATATAGAGGGAGCAAGTAGCTACAAGTAGGACAGTGGGGCTTTAAGTGAGTAATTTGCCTTAAAGTTTGCTTGCTTACATAAAATGATCAAATGTAATCTGAATACAAGTTAAGACATGTCACTTAGCAAAGCAAATTGTCAAGTGACAAAATGCCTTAATCTTTGTACTGAATTGAATATGGCCCCAGCCGACAGACAAATATTCCTTTTGATCGGCACTGTATAAAGCCATGGAGATGTCTCTGTTCATAATTAGACAATGGTACCTAACAATTTTCATTCAAGATAAAAGTATTGAGTATAGAAGGTATACCTGCTTTGCTTTAAACTCTGCAGCCACAGTACTGTATGTAGTGATGACAACATCTTGTTGTTTGAGATAATCAGCCTTCAATTTCTTCTTCTCTGCTCCATAGTAGAGACATACATTCACCTGCAGTTCATCTGCTACATGTTCACGGAATTGATCCTTTAGAAGAAAAAAAACCCATAACACACATTTTAAGATTAGAATAGATGAGAAATTATCCTAAACTGGACAAAATACCTGATTAGCAAAAAAAAGCAGAAATAAGGTTTCTATTCATTTTGTAAGCAAAAAAAAAGAAGACAAAAAGAGTTTTACACACTGACATGACTCTTATAGAGCAGATTATCATCCATGCCTCTACACATTTGATCCACATTTGGTTAAAATCTGTTCGCTGGTTCTAAAGTTATCTCTGTAACAAAAATTTGGATGGATGGATGGATGGATAACCCTCACAACATAACGCCTAGACTCTTTGAGAGATTAGGGGGTACTTGATAGGACTACGTCTACAGGTTTACTTTGTGCAGACTTCTACACATGGTATTCCCAGCAAGTCTGGTATCAGTGAATTATCACCTTCTGCACATGGAAACTGATGACCCTCTCTCTTCATAAGACAAAAAACCATCTTGATGGCAAGCTCTTGAATTGCTCTTCTCTATACTCACAATCCAATTTGACAAAACTGATAGTGGGCACAGTATGAGAGTTGCACGGGGCTTGGCAGCATCTCCATCTCCATGATGACCTTTAACCTCAGCTCTCATTGGTTTACTAGGGCCAGGCACTGAGATGTTTGGTGGACTAGGTCCAGAGAGTGGGTCTACTGGCAGGCTAGGTCCAGTTACAGAGTTGATTGGTTGGCTTGGGCCAGGGAGTGAGGCTACTGGCAGACTAGGTCCAGGTACAGAGTTGATTGGTGGGCTTGGGCCAGGGAGTGAGGCTACTGGTTGGCTAGGTCCAGGTACAGAGTTGATTGACGGCCTTGGGCCAGGGAGTAAGGCTACTGGTTGGCTAGGTCCAGGCAGTGGTTTCTGGGATACATCTCCTCCTGTTGCCTTCTTGCCCTTTCCTTTACCCTTTGGTTTACTTTGACCTTTCACCTTGGGTCCTGCTGCCATTTTGGCCGGCTTCCTTTTAGCTGCAGCAGACAAGAAGAAAGATATCTACATGATCTTCATGACCAAATGAAAACATGCAATGCATGGCTAGAACACTAGTACAAATATAAATCTGGTCAGGATGGAATTAGTCACTATAACATGGCAATGTGAATATTCACAACAGCTCCATAATTTTAAAGATATGATATCAATAAGCGCTTTGAGCATCGTCTTGGGGACAAATGTTGTCTGCATTATTATCATTATTACCCTTACATAGAAATCAGAACAGGCAAACTATTAATAATACACAATGACAATGGCGCTCTTTATTTGTACATGAATGGTTGAAATGATTCTCATCTTACCTTTCTTTTCAGGGGATGGATTGTCATCTGAATCATCATTGAATATGAACTTTACTTTGGCAGCACTTGCCCTGCAAATATAAATACAGCAATGTGGAAAATATCAACATAATACGCTTGACTGGGGAAATCATCAAAGCAATATGCTTGAGTGTGGAAACTGTCACCAGATACACTGTATGACTAAGTGCAAGACTGGCCGCTTTCAATCACGAAGAGCAACTTGACAAGAAAAGTGCAAAATCAGCTAAATTCAGATTTATATGAATACAAAACATCATGTCAAGATAAAGGCCGGTAGTGGTAAAATTGCAGTTCAAGGGTTTTGGGTGCAAATATCCATTCAATATTGTTTAAATATTGCCTTCAGAGGTTTAAATGGCAATACTACAACCTAAATTTGCAAAAAAGCAGAAATATATGGATATCTATCCAGGCTGGATCGATTTTACCAAATATATCAATTAGTAGGCAGTTTTTTGGCAAAATTTGTATCATCGAGTAATCAAAACATATTCTTTTACATGATTGGTAATAAGAGCTTCCATTCCATTTTTTTAGAGGGGGGCGTTTCAAAAACTGGTCTATACTTTTAACAGTCCTAATTAGCCAAATCCTTGAACTAAAGAATCTGAAGAAAAAAATCTGAATCTCAATTGGAATTTGCCCAACAAATGTTTGAATTTACATGACAATTTTGGCTATTTACTAAAACAAGGGAAACGCTCTCGGCGGTCTCGCCTGCATAACGCAATTCAATATGATAAACCAGAACGTCAATGACGTAGCGCTCATCCGCATCTCACAACAACAAATATCGTAAATTTTATGTGGTACACTTTTGAACTGGTCAAAAAATAGAAATTTGATGCCCTGGAAGGGACATAATTTCATTTCATTTGCATAAAGTACCATAAATAATCAATGGAGCAAAATCTCACAATTCTGTGTAGAAGTTTATTGTTCCAAATTTAGCTCTACCAGATAAGGCAAAATCGGTCAAGAAATGAGGGAAAAGAAGCAATTTTTGTTATTTTTGGAATACATTTGCATAAATTACCATAATTAATTAATGGAGAACAATTTCAAAATTCTGTGTAGAAGTTTAGTGTACCAAAATTAGCTCTACGATATAAAGCAAACCAAATCAAAATCGGTCGAGAAATGAAGGAGAAGAAGCCTTTTTTGTGATTTCGAATAAATTTGCATAAATTAGCATAGATAATGAATTTCACGATTCTGTGTAGAAATTTTAAATCCCCTCCTAGCCCTATCATATGAAACAATCAGAATCAAAATCGGTTGAAAAATAACGAAGAAGCAGCATTTTGAAAATCTTAATGTTGATGCCACAACAAAGTCTAAGTTTGTTGACCTTAAATGGCCTTTGACCTTAACTTAGTGACCTGAAATTCTACTCACATGATTGGGGAGACTTGATAACCCTATAGTCCAAGTTTCATTGACTAAGAACTTATACTTTCAAAATTATATCAAAAATTCAAAAACTTAACCTTAGGTTAAGTTTTCGATGATGATGCTACAACATAGTCCAAGTCTGTTGACCTGAAATGACCTTTGACCTTGACTTTGTGATCTGAAATTCTACTCACATGATTGGGGATACTTGATTACCCTATAGTCAAAGTTTCATTGACTAAGAACTTATACTTTAAAAATTATACCAAAAATTCAAAAACTTAACCTTAGGTTAAGTTTTTGATGTTGACGCCGTCGCCGTCGCCGTCGCCGCCGCCGTCACCGGAAAAGCGGCGCCTATGTCTCGCTTTTTGCTACGCAGGCGAGACAAAAATTGTAAAATGTAATGATTATGATGACATAAAACATTCTTTAATTTATGTCCTATGTCTTCATTATAATTGTGTACGTGAAAGCAACTCTTGTTCCAAGGTAGGAGACATATATCATGCCATTATATTCAGGAAATGTGTTTAAAAACTACTGCAATAAGAGGTGTAATTCCATTGTGACTTGGATAAAATTCCCAATAAATGCTGGTTCGAAATTACATCCAAGAGGCAAACATCTCGGCAATTGGCGATAGCGAGAATGAAGTTTATAAGAAGAGAGAGGAAAAAGTTGGGGAAAAGAGGAGACTGAAATTACCTCTTGGGTCTACCAGTAGCTGTAACTGATGTAGTGCTTGAGGAACATGGGATAGGAGGTGAATCATCTTTGATCACAATGGTGGTGTTATTGTTGGAGTTCTGACTGTCATCCTCTATCACAATCACCTCCTCAGAAATGGTGGGCAACTCCTGAGAATCCATGATCATCACCACTTCATCTTTAACTTCCTGTTTCATAAATTTTGATAGAAAAGGAAATGTTGAAACATATTAATAAGTCTAACATAAAAGATTAATCCTGTAACTTTGTAAGTCATGACCATTTAATAATTTGTTGTTTCTTTTATGGAATACACAATTCTACAGATCTATGTAACAGAAAACATAGTGTAGTATTTGAAGGGTTTAGTGAGCAATGTTCTCCTTTTCCTAAAAAGATGAAAGAAATAGCTAGTTGAATTGGAATGACTGGAATATATATTTCATTTACATACAAATAATTTCAATCTTTCTCAATGGAAGAATGCAGAGTCTCAAGAAGAGTGAACTTCAAATATTTATATTTTCTTTTATGAAAATTTACAATCATACAATCACCCTAAATATATATTGTGAATGTTTTTATACAACCCCTGTATGAAACAAATCTATTCCATTCAATAACTAAGAAAATGAAAGTTTATTCAACTTTCTGTACAAAAAGCAAATTAGAGAGAAGCTTGCAAGATATGTCACATACATACGTACGTTGGCAATGTTGCCAACTTCAAAAATGTATAACTTTCCTATATTTGATTGGATATTGCTCAAACTTTCATTTATTTGTGTCTCTCATTTGACTGCTTTTTTAGCAAAACCAAATTAATATCAGGGAGGACTTCTCCTTTAGTGGTGGAATTATCAAGATGGAAAGAATACGATTAAGAATGTCATATCTGACCTGCTTAACTTGACTCGTCGAAGGCTCGTTGCAATCCACCTCATCTTCCTCAGGTAAGCTCGGTAAAGATGGAGGGAGGTCACTAAACTCTGGCTTTGCAAAGTCATGTAGGACAAGTGCTATGACAGTCAGAGTCTTCCCTAATCCCATCTCATCGGCCAGTATACCACCACGCACACTGTCAGGTCGCTTGGCACTCGTGAAGTTGGTTAGTGAGTTGTGGTACAGACCAGATGGTGTTTTATCCCAGAATGTCGGTAGCTTATCGTTACTCTCTCTGGCTAACATCCAATGGAGGGCTTGCTTTTGATGTGGGTACATTTTTCTAATAATACACTGATACAATTGAAAACAAACAATGTCTTGAAACTTGAACACCTGTATGTTAAGACCGCTCAAGGGTGACAAGAAAAGTGGTCTTTAATAATAATAATGATGATGATGATGATGATGATGATGATGATGATGATGATGATGATGATGATGATGATGATGATGATGATGATGATGATGATGATGATGATGATGATGATGATGATGATGATGATAATAATGATGATAATAATAATAATAATAATAATAATAATAATAATAATAATAATAATAATAATAATAATAATAGCCAATAGTCCACTCCAAATTTTATTAAACTGAAACGGAAATTCTTTTTGCCCAATTGATCGGGAGCCCGGCAGCCACTGAGCAGCGCCAGATTGACGTTGTTCTATCCCTTATTGTTGAACGCCAAACAAGGTAGCAACAACTCTTTTAACATCTTTTGGTATGACGCGGCCGGGATTCGACCCCACGACCTCCCGGTTGTAGGAAATGATTTTCAAGGGGAAAAAAAATGTGGCCTTTATATACAGGTGGTCACTAAAGCAGGTTTCACTGTAAATCAATTCACTAAAACATGATTCGTAGATTCCACTGAAATTATTATTATGAAACATGAGAAATGTGATTTGCTTTCCACTATTTTACATGACACTTTCAAGTTTCAAGTTCTCCAGGCTCACTTACTAAATCAACTTCAGACACATCTACAACCATTAAACCTCAACTTGGCTCAATTATCTATCTTTATTAGAAAGAAAAATAAGATAGCTTACCTTGCTTGGTTCTTGCTCTGTAGTTTTGTCCAGAGATTTGAGATTGTCAAAAAGGGTATCCACTTCATTCTTCATCTAAAACAATGGCAAAGGAAGATTTTAGGCATTAACCAACTATAAAACTATCCTTACCAAATGACTCCTAAACTTTTGAATAATTAATGCATACACAGTGTAACCTGTCTAAAAAGATCACCTGAGGGCGACAAGAAAAACGCTCTTTATAGGCAGGTGGTCTTTATGGGCTGGTGGTCTTTATGTGCAGGTTCCTTCAATACAATTGTCAATGTACATCTCTTCTCAAGGGAGATAACAAATGTTGTCTTTATAGACGGATGGTCTTTCTATACAGTTGGTTGCTAAAGCAGGTTTGACGGTAATATATTTCACAAAGACTTGAATTCTTACATAAGATTTTGATATTCACTGATCACATCTGTTGTCTAAACAAAGTTCAGCACGTCTGATTCCTGATCTGAGAGTTGCACTATGATATGAATGTTCTTAATATGATCCAGAAGATATGAAATTTTGTACTTAATACTATCAAATATTAACTATTATACATGTAACTGGATTTCCAAGCTATAGATCGTTAATTTCTCTCATACAGAAACACTTCAGATTGGAGGTAGCGAATCATACTGCATTTTAATGATGCATAAGTGTAATATGCGTCACATTTCTGTATCTTGTAACACAGTCCAGTGTTAACGCTGACCATATATCTTTTCCTTTTCCCTCTTTAACAACATATATGAATGCATAAATTTCATGGTCTTACCAAAAAAAATCATGGAGTAATTGGTCTTATAAATTCATTTGGATTTTTATAGGTATTCAATTATAGTGATAACATTTGTAAGTAGCTTTTTCAGATTTCCAACCATAGATTTGATCTGTGTAACTATATTGATGATTGTATTTAGACAACATCTTTATCAATTGAGATGAGGTGTTGTGGTCTTGTGGAAAATTTGTTGGACTGTCGATCACAGGGTCCGCGGTTCAAGTTCCGCCACGGCACTAACGCCCTTTGGCAAGATATTAATCTACAATTAGGTATCACAGCTAAAGTTTGAAAGTATCTACATTTCATTTCCCCTGCCAATTTCATTTTAGAGCACATGGAAAGAGGAGTTTTGATACCTCATTTGTCAAATTTGAATAAGTACTTTTGAAAATACGGCCACTTACATAAGAGACGAAATGGTCAAATTTTGCGTAATTAGGCTATAACTGACAATTAGCCATTTTCAAGGTGACATAATTTTGTAATTAATTGATGAATCACCTTTCTTTTCAAGAAATCTGTTCTCTGTATGGATTTCTACATGCCTATTTTTTTCCAGGTTCTTTAGACAAAAAATTTTTTTGGTGGAATTTTTCAAATAATTAAATGAAGCCCATTTTGATGCGTGTGACAAATGGCTATTTTTGCGTCGCCGGAACAAGTTTTCATGGGTTTTGAAACATGGCTAGATTTAAGAGTGTCTATGAAGTGGGGCTGAATTTCGGGATATCTGGGGTATGTACAATACCGCCCAGAAGTTATTGGGCATGCGTGATCGTGAAACACGATAGGACGTTAGCGTGATTTGTAGGCGGGTTTTATCGTGTTTTTATCGTGAGAAACATCGTGATTTGTATTCATCTCCTTTTTTCCTCAACTTGATCAACTCGCTAAATCCCCGATGCATATCGTGATATTTCCTTTTTATCACGATAGAACTGCGCACAGCATGCTGTATTTATACGCTTGCTGAGCCTGCGCATCCTCAAACATACCGATGCGCGCTTGCCACTGACGTCACAATCACTTGATTATTACATCACAAAAGCGTGAACGAATGCTCTTTTCATTCCATGCATAAATACACGAGACAATGTGCTACGGGGAATGTTTGGGATTGCGCATGCGGAGAGAAAAGTTATCCGATGAGAGAAGTGCAGAAACCAAGAACCAGGTGTCTTGGCCTTTCCCACGATACGACATCTTTTTTTTATTTGAGGGGGGAGGAATGTTTGGGATAGCTCATGGCAGAGGAGATCCGAGAGTATTAAGGCGTGTCTGCACTATCTCGAGATTGCCAAATATCCAGCTATTTGAACTATCCCGATCGCAAACTATCCAGCTAATTTGCGTCTTCATTAGAACGAAGTAGCAAATTAGCTGGATAGTTGGTCGGGATAATATCCCAAGATATCTCAGTCTAGTTTGCGGTTTTCCGTGCTTACTCGAGGTCAGTGGTTGTACTAACGCGCTGAGCGGTATAGATCGCATGTGCGAACCAGAAATCGTAGTGCATGATGGGATCGGGATATTTGACTCCGGACTTCGGTCTAATGAAGACGGTCGCAAACTATCCCGCTAGTTCGGAAATAGTGGGATATTTTGCAAACTAGACCGAGATATCTTGGGATATTATCCCGACCAACTATCCAGCTAATTTGCTACTTCGTTCTAATGAAGACGCAAATAGCTGGATAGTTTGCGATCGGGATAGTTCAAATAGCTGGATATTTGGCAATCTCGAGATAGTGAAGAATAAGAGTTAGACCGAAAGCTTCAGTCTCTAATATCGACGGCTATTCCGCTTATGTTTAATCCGAGAAAGGACTTGTCGTTAACATTATTTGTTGTGCAGCCATCTTGATTTGAGTTAATGAATGCTCTCTTTTTTTTCCGGACGTCCGATACCTACATGTACGTAGGAGTCAGCACGGCTTGACCCGGTGATATTTTGATATTCATAAACGCGTGATCTAATTCGCCTAAATTTCGCCATTGCAATTACTTGATTAAAATTGTAAGAATTGTAAGAAATATACATACTTTCTTATGTCCGATTTATTGATCGGAAAATTCGATCTAAATAAGGAAAAACGGGAAGAAAAGAAAGGCTCACCCCCCCCCCCCCCCCCCCCCCGTCGTGCGAGCCGTAAGGGTCACCGTCTGTGTATGAGGAATGTTGACAAATGTAAGATTTATCAAAGAGTAATGACCCATATCAGACGGTTATTGCTGTCTAATCGAGAGTATTCATCATTACATGTACATATCAGATCTAATATGTGGGTAGAATCTTAGAATTTATGGATAAATGCGGCTGTTATTTCTAGAAGAATTATGTGCATGTTGTGAGATTTTCAGGAAGGCATGAAGAATTAAGGGAAGAGGAGAGAAGAGGCGGAGGGGTACCGTTAGTGTGACAGGGACAGAAAAGAAAGGGAAGGGAGTGAAGAGTGAAATATATCAGAAAAAGATAATTAAGAGAGATAGAGAATTGAAAATTAACAGAATAAATAAAGGATCCGTAACTCCAAATAAATAATAAAAAAAATTATTTTATTCATTCATAATACCAATCGGTTGACCCTGTCCCTACACATTACAAATTTTGCCACAGACCGCAAACGGCATTTTCATAAACCAGCATTATCAAAAACAAAAGCAACGCGATCTCGATCAGCCAATGTACCTCGTGGTCCACAAAGTAGTTGAAATTTGATATGTAGTGCGCGCGCTCAGGGATTCCCGGAATTGGAAAACCCCTCGATCTCGATCTCCATTTTATGACATTCAGTTTGCATGCAAGCTAAATACATGTACATACCTGGGTTGGCAAGCTCCCGTAATCAAAATTGGAGTAATACATAAGGAAATAACAAAGAAATACACGAGGTTTGAGGACAAAATATAAAATGATAGAAAGAAATCTAAGAAAAACATAAAGTATTAAAACACATTTACGAAGGATGATTAATAATGATAATAATAATAAATAATAACGGCTTAACAAAGATCTACATATGGTAAGAAATAAGGATAAAAAAAAAAAAAATGATTGATCGAATTGATAGCAAGAAAAACAAGGAATTAAACAAAGGGGGTGATTGTGCAAGGGGGTAATTCTCCTTGAACCGTAAGGAACAAGCGAAGGGAATACATACACATATTTATATTTCGAGAAAAGGTAAAACAAAGAAATAAAAAACAGAAAAGATGATGAGGTAAAGATTTAAAAAATGCACGCGCTTAGTTTTCTCTCGAAGGTTCAATCATCACTACTATGATCACGTGATCTTACGGCGCGAACATGATCTGTTTATACTAACTTCTGAGATAACCACATGTTGCCAGACACCTTGACTCCAAACCCATTGTTTAGAAAGACTTGAAACATAATATGAAATGTACGCAAGCTCTCTTGTCATTTAAACATTCAATTCATTGGCGAAAAAATTAGAATTTCCGATTGATAAAGTTCTCTACTTGTTTCGTGTGTCTATTTTCTTTTCCTTCCTTTTCTTTTTTCTTCTCCTTCCTTTTCTTCTCCCTCCCCCTCTGCTTCTTCATCCTCCCCTTCTTTTTCTTCTCCTTCCTTTTCTTCTCCCCTTCTTCTTTTTCTTCTTCCTTTTCTTCTCTCCCCCCCCCCTCTGCTTCTTCATCTCCCCCTTCTTCTTTTTCTTCTCCCCCTCCTCTGCTTCTTCATCTCACCATTCGTCTTTTTCTTCTCCTTCGCTTGCCCTTTGTTTAGAAACACGTGAAACACATTTTGAAATGTACGCCTCTCATTCAATTCATTGGCGAAAAAATTAGAATTTCCAATTGATGAAGTTCTCTGCTTGTTTCGTCTGTCTATTTTATCTATTTTATTTTTAGATTTACTCATCTTCTTTTTTCCCCTCCTTCCTTTTCTTTTCTTTTCTTTTCTTCTCCCCTCCCCCCCCCCCCCTGCGTCGCCAATGATACGAGTTCGCTTTTAAAATTATCATTTATTTTATATCCGATTGCGAAGCAGCAAACCACAAATGAATTGAATGCAACATCAGGCAAATTAATTATTAGCGCGAATAAACGTTAGAGGGACTAGAACAGGAGCTATTATTGTAAAAATGTCCACAAAAATAAAACACAACTTCGCGAATGATAGTGATACGGGTCTGCTTTTAAAAATAAAATCTATATCATATTTTAATGCGAAGCAGCAAACCATGAATGAATCTAAAAGGTTGAAAGGTTTGTTTTAATTCTTAATCTTAAATTGACTAACTATCTCTTAACAAATAAT